AAAAAAAAAAAAAAAAGATAAACACATCTTAGTAAAACCAATACCTTCTCAGCATCGCATCGAAGCCAAAATAGACTAAATAACGAATAGCATTGCCTAATTTTTTAAATAATTAAGTAAAAAGCTATCACAGCTATGAATAGTGAATTTTCTCCTTTTGGTTAAATAATTAGCTTCCATAAAAAATTGGAGTTAAATATTACATAATTTAATAAAAATATTTTAAGGATTAGTAAAAAATGAATTTAACAACCTCAAATTTTTTATTCTAGTTGCATTTAAGTCGGAGATTTATTAATTCCTTAAAAATGCTGAACAAATTTCTTCTACTATACTTTTATATTAGAAGACATTTCCAACATAGATCGCGGTCATTTACAGTGATAAAAGTTTTAAAAGATAACGGAAATCGAGAATTTTCTAGAATGTTCGATAGTTTATCTTTTATATATGAGTAGTATAGTACTATCACTTGCTTGTTATTATTCTTTTTAGAATTTATGTTATAGGTTTTATGACTTATATTATTTTATTGCTGGCTAAGTAAATGATGATTGAATGAAGGAAATATCTGATGATTCTATTATACTTATTAAATTAGTGTGTGTTATTATTACATTAGTATTGTACGATATAAATGTGAAATTTCTTTAAAGAATGTTCACGACGCATTAAATTATTTTAAATTATTTGTCAAAAAGCTTGAAGAATTATCAACTAATAACGACAATAACAAATCAGTTAAAAACGATAGTTCTAATACTCCGTAAGTACAATATATGTTAACGAATATGTGCAATGTTTTAAATTAAACTTATAAATAATGAGCACTTACAAATAAGGTAAAATTAATTTTGATTTGTGTTAATTGTCTTTCTAATGTTACCACAACTTTAGTTTCAATGGAAACTTTTTAGTTATTTTATAGCCTTTGTTTAATATTTGCAGTTTACACTTTGATATAATTTTTTGGGTTAATTGTGATATAGATAAATATAATTAAAAAATTATTGGCATTATTCAAGTTTTTCAACTTTAACAGTTATGATTCTATTAACAGATGTCACTAAATTTTTATTACAATTAAATTAGTAGATTGTTTTCAAATTATCATGCTTTTGATTTTTAATATGTTAAAAATAATCATTTTAACCTACTTTTTTTTGTCCTTTAAAGTGAAAGTTCATAATAATAATAAAAAAAATGAATTTATTACCATAACTTGCAAGTTTGAAATTGACATCATTAAATAAAAAATTTTATGAGAAATGCTCAATTTTTTTGCATTATTATCGTAATAGATCACTTAAATAGAAATCATAGTAATAATTTCTAATTAACTTTTGGTATTTAAAAAGATTCTATAATTGAAATATGCTGAACTGAATTAATTTTAATGATTTACTTTAACTAAAAAAACCAATCAAAAAAATGTTATAGTAAAAAGATCTACTCAATTAAGTGTATTATAAAATTTGATTATAATTGTAAAAATCCATTGTTAAATTCAGGTGAAACTAAAAATCATTTTTTTTTTAGATTTATGTGTTATATAGCAACATGTTTAAAAAAAAATTGGAATTTTATAGTCTGATAGTAGCACACACAAATAGAGTTAAAAAATTAATAAAATTACAAAGTAAAATTATTTATTTTTGTAGTTGAATACTTTTATCATATCAAATCTAATTGACAATAAATACTTTAAGAATATTAGAAATGAATGATTTTAATTGTTTGTATGGATAAAGCTAGTTAAGTTACATTTATTTGATTAAGGGTTTTTTTCAATTTTTGAGGGTAATATCTTTCACTAAATACGAATTATAATGGTTTGACGTATCGTTGAAAAAAGTAGGTTAAGTGAAGGTTGGAAAAAAAAATCGTAGCCACTAAAAAAAAATACATTGTAAAATAATATTAACATGAATGAGAAATTTATTCTCATGAGAGGAGACTAGTGTGATGAGAACCTTGATATTTATAGAAGTTATTGAATCTAAATAAGATAAAAATTAAATGATTTGAACATTTTTCTAACTTAAAAAAAATGCAAAATATAATATGATAAGTTACATTTTCGACTTAAAAAAAGGAAAAAAATTTAAATAAGTTTAACTTATTATATCTTATGAACTTTATTCAATATAATAATATAAGTTCTCATTTAAGATTAAATAAAAGTGTCAATATTTCCGGAACATTTTCGAAAATTAAATTGAAAAAGTTTAACTTGTGTGCAAAAATTGCTTATTTGAATCCTCCCTGTAGGCAGGTTAAGAGTTAGATTTTCAATAAAATTATATTAAATGATAGAAAAATATCTAAGTTTTGAATTAAAAAAAAATTGATTTTAATTCGTTCAGTTTTCAAAAAGTTATGGCAATTTAAGTATTAAAATATTTCATGTTAAACAGTAATATTTACATAAAAATTAAATTTTTGTTAAATTTGACGGACATTTTCCTATAGAAGAAATGTTGTCGGGACAAATTTTATTTTTTGAACTTTCTAGTATTTATTAAAGTTAAGTTATTTAATTCAGTTGAAAAAGTTAATTTTGTAAAAAAAGATGCTATTTTAAATCCCCTCTGTGAGCAGGTTAAATGTTAGATTTTCAAAAAAATGATATCAAATGAAAGGAAAATATCTAAGGTTTCAATTTAAAAAAAAGTTATGTTGATTTGTTAATTTTTGAAAAAGTTATGGTAGTTTTAAGAAAAAATAGTGAAAAAAAACCCAGCACAGGGGGGGTCGCGGTACAGTGGTGACGTGGTATAGATGGATCAAGTATAATGATATCTGACAGTGATTAAAATCACTATCAAAAAAAAACCCTTCGATGCAAATCTTTATACTGTTTTATTTTAAAAATTGGTGGACTATTCCAAAAGCTACATGATCTGCTAGTTCATTATTAATATCCTAATTAAGATAAAGTATGTAGAATGAAAAAGGGATTATTAAAAAATATTATTTCTCATAAAAAAATAATGTTGATCCATACACTTTTCAATATGTCATAGCATTATAAAGTTAAAAATGTAAAAAATAAAATCGAGAATTTTCACACAATAATAGCATTTGGTAGCCATTTTCACCGTGAAGATAAAATAAAGTCCGAAATTTTTTTTTCGCATAATAAAGTAAATTACATTAGCTTTAATTTAAGATATATATAAAAGTGTCAGACCTTCCGGAACATTATCAAAATTTAAGTTAAAAAAGTTAATTTTTTTTGAAAAAGTTGTCATTTTAAATCCCCCCTTGTGGGCAGGTTAAGGGTTAAATTTATGAAAAAAATANTCTTGTGGGCAGGTTAAGTGTTAAATTTATGAAAAAAATATACCAAACAAAAGGTAATGATATTACACATTTATATAAAAAAGAATTATATTGATATGTTTATTTTTGAAAAAGTTATGGCACTTTTAAGTAAAAAAAATTGAAAAAATTTCGAAAATTAGCGATTTTTAAATTTGTAATTTTTTTGGAGGTTTCCCCCATTTACGGGGAACGAGGGCATTTTTTTCAATTTTTGAGGGTAATGTCTTTGACTAGATACAATTTGTGATCTTTTGACGTATCATTGAAAGAAATTGGTTCGGTGAGAGCTGAGAAAAAGTGGTAACAGACACAAAAAAAAAAAAAAGAAAAGATAAACACATCTTAGTAAAACCAATACCTTCTCAGCTTCGCATCGAAGCTAAAATGACAAAATTTACCTATTTTAAAAATTGTAATTTTTTTGGAAATTTCCTCCATTTACCGGGAATGAGGGAAATTTTTTCAATTTTTGGCGTAATGTCTTTAAGTAGATACAATTTGTGATATTTGACATATTGTTCATCGAAATTGGTTCAGTGAGAGCTGAAAAAAAGTGGCAACAGACACAAACACACACATACAAAAAAAAACGCATCTTAGTAAAATCAATACCTTCTCAGCTTTGTATATAAGCTAAAACTATTACTTATGTTAAAGCGGTCAAGAAAATCTATATATCCCAGCACAATGAAATCAAATCCTAACTCCAATGCATTACCAATTAAACTAATTATGATATATAACCTACCTATAATAATACTAATAATTTAGAACGAGATTTCAATTATTATATCTAATGTAATTTATAAATTTATTTATTTTTCTTTTTTAGTGTTTTTAAACTTTGAAATGGATAATGCTGGGGAAGTAATACTTACAAATGAAGATTCCACTATGTCTAAACAACATCTTATTAAAAATCTTGATCGTTTGGAAAATATAGTAGAAAATATTCGAAGAGAAGCATTGCAAATGGAAGAAGAAATGGATAATATGTATACAACTATAGATGCTCTTAGAAATTCAGATTCATTAAATTTGCTCCCAGCTAGTAAGACTATTAATTATTATATATTTTTTTCTATTTTAAGATTTGAATTATTAATTAATAATAATTTATAGTTGAAAAAGATGATATTAATCAGATAGCAGACCGAATTGTTAATCGTTGTAATACTGTTAAAATAACAGTGCATACCACTAGGTCTGAAAGCCAACAGAATTGTTTAGAAGAAGTGAATTCATTGATTGATCAAACAGTTAACATGCTGAAAATTGATCCTGATAATGCTAAAAGCTTTTGCCAGTCATATTTAGCTTCTTGTACTTCATCTGAAAATGAAATTGGTAACAAAATGTTTGAAAATGCAATCTTAGGATGTACACTTGATGATCAGAAACGTATTCATAAAAGATTGCAAGGACTAATGGATTATATTGTGCATACTACTTGTGTAGTTGAGTCTCGTGATGACTTATAAATTTTGTATCTTATACTACAATTAGATTGCAATCTATAAAACTATTTATAAATTTACATTCCATTTAAAGAACTGTTATAAAGAAAAGTGTATTCCTATTTTGTATTGTATTAATTTAGTTATATTTATTAGTCTAAGACTTAAATAAAGCACTTTCTGTTAATTGTTATATAATCATACAGTTTATTTTCATACTATAAAAAAATTACATTATAAAACATGAGTTTGTATATTAAACATAAAGTTAAAATAAAAAGTGAAATAATCAACTCATGGTATGACACAAGAGTTTTTGAAAATATTCTTCTTTTTTTGTTTTAGTTTTCCATGTCTCAGTTTTATAGTCGCTGAAGAGTTTTTATTTCTGTAAGGTACAGCACCAAATGAACCTAAAAATTAAATACTATGAGTCACAATAACTCCTTGTTTTTTATTTTTACTACAACAATTTAATTTTCTCATCAAAGTTTTATTTGTATTTGAAAGGATTAATTTTTGAAGAAAATTAATTTTTTTAAGTTTAATAGAAAAAATACAATGAAAATTTTATAATTCTTTTTAATGTAATATATTTTTGGTTTATTGAATTTTTTGAATAAATTGTACTTTTAATAATGTATTAATGTAATTAGATGTTCGTAATTTAATTTATTTATCATCAATTATGTTTAATAATGTTATATTTTTTATTCTTAAACATGAAAGCAAAACTTAATGTATAAAAATCCCTTATATAAGGGGCAATTTTTCATATTAATTATTCAGACAGGTCTAAACATTAACTACAGTCTATAAATCATTATCATATCTTCTAATTAAGTTAATTTTATAAGTTATTAGTTAAAATATATTAATATAAATATTATATACTAATTGTATATGTCTGGTGAACTCCATTTCCTGACAAATATTCTTGTTCTTCTTTTTGTATTTCTGCTAGACATCTTGAAGCTAAATATCTAAAGACATTGTTTACATTTACATCATCTTTTACTGATGTACAAATTACTTTACAACCCAATGACCGAGCTAGTATATCAACTTCTTGCCTATACATAAAAATATGTATTAAAAAAATAATCCTAAAATTTAAGTATGAATTAAGAATAATGATTGTACTTACGGATCTACCTCACTGTGTTCAATAAGATCTATTTTATTTTGGACTATAACTGTAGGTATTTTACCACATTCATCTTCTACCTACAAATATTTGAAAATTTTTAATAAAATATTCTTTTAAAATTCTGCTTCTAGCTTTTGTTAGATAACATAGAAAAATTAAATATTACCTTCATTTTCCAAGAATGAATTGCTTCAAAAGAATCTCTATCTGTTGTTGAAAATGCTAGTACACATGCTTGAGCTCCCCGGTAATAAGCTTTTGTAATGGCATCAAACTCTTCCTGACCAGCTGTATCCCACAACATAAGTCTGACATCTTCTCCATTGCACCTATTATTAAAATCATGGGTTCCAGATGTATTTAGATTGATTTTGTTTATAGAATTATTATAGAGACGAAATAGTTGGGTAAAGTTTAGAATGAAGAAATAGAGACTTTTCATAAATTAAGAAATCTTAAATTTATTATCATTATATCTGATTATTCATCAAAAAAAGAATAGTCAAAAATTCTAAAAGTAGCTTTTAAAAATATTTTGAGTTAATTTCATTAGAAAATTTTTTTAAACTTTGTTCTTACTCAAATTGTCTTTCTAAGAAATCAACACCGATAGTTTTTTTGTAATCCCTAGTAAATGTTCCTCTGCAGTAACGTTGTATCATACTCGATTTTCCGACTGCTCCATTTCCCACAATGACCACCTTAATTTTTAATTTTTTTTATCAATAAAAATGATTATTAATAACTATGATTATGTTTATTACTTTCAACGCTATTTCCAAATCCTCTTCCCTCATCACTCATATCTGTATTATTCCATTACGTAATGTTCTAAATGATAAAAAAAAAATACATTTATTATTTTCATGAGAAAATAGATTTTAGACAAATATAAATTTTGATTCATATTTTCATATTTTAGGAGTGTGTAGAATTTTGGTCAGGGATGTGCTGTCAAAGTAAAATGAACCCCCTCAGGTGATAATCTTATTTTTTTCTAAAACTTAGGTCTTTGTTAAGTAGATCATTTTGGTCTTGCTCTAGAACTCATATGCATTGTTATTTTTTGGATGGGTATTTTATTGTCTTCTCCAGATGCGTATACCAGGATAATAGGGGTCATAAGAGCATTGGCGCTCCAAAATTAGCATAGAAAAAACCTTTTATAAAAATATAAATTTGATACTAACAAAAATTGTAAAATGCTCTTCACAAAAAAAAATTTCTTCTTTATCCGCATCGGCTACTTTTAATATTTTACCACTCTACATAAATATTATATAATTGATTTATATAAATAATACACAACTATATTAATATTTAAAAAATACATATCGTTCCATTCAATTTGAAATCTCTTTGAATACCAATAGGTAAAAATTTAGAGTTATGTAAAATCATAAAATATACATAAATTAGCAAACTTTTATAATTACTGGAATCGCATTATCACTTATACCATCATTAATTTTTTGTAGCACGATTAATAAATATTTACTAATGATAACCTAGTTAGTTTTATATAAAAAAAATAGTAATTTATATAGAATAATATGAAAACTCTTGGATAAATAACTTGAAAAATATAAATTTAGTTACTAAAAAAATTAAAAAACTACCAAAATTTAATAATATTATGGAATTTATATAAATTTTATGTATTATCATAGGATATGAAAAAAATACTACGGGCGTAGCTAAAAAACTTTGTGGAGATTTTACTCCCTGTTTATAATTTTGGATAATAAACATAACGGATAATTTAAGATTAAGTGGATTTTCTTATTAAAAATGAAAAATTAGATCTATCTACCTATTAAAAACATTTAAGAATAAAATTTATAAATAATAAAGATGAATTGTTATTAAGAAGCAGAAATTATTTATAAAATTATTAGTTTCTTTCTCTCACTCAGTATCGCAAAAAACAGAAGCAAGGTACATGGGCCACGGTTTACATATATTCCGAAGGGGTTCCACCATTTTTAAAATTATAAAGAGGGGAAGGATTAAGGTATTATCCACCCAGGTTACTAGTTGAGGTACTACTTCCACTTAAACAATTAGCAACAACAAAAATTTACTTATAATTATAGCCGTTTTAATTTGAAAAATTATTTAATTATATATATTATTTGATATATATATATGTGTATATTACTTATTCTACTCAAGAAACATCAATTTTATAATTTTTACTTATGACGATATTGGAATTATTATAGTTAAGCTGTAATTAACAATTTATGTCAAAGATTTGATACTAATTATTGTTTTGGGCCGGTGCAATTGGTGTACTCTGCACGAGCACATTTAGCTGATGATGAAAAATTATTTCATATCACCAAAATATTTTCACTTTTAAATATATTGGGATTATTTATGAATAGAAATTTCAAATTTTCAGATAAGGTAAAATTATGCTAGTCTCACTTTTATATATTTTTTGACCCTAAATAAAAGAAAGATTAAAGCCGGTTTTTTGGTAAAGTAATAGTGTAAGTTCATACATTTATACAAACTAGTTGATATTTAATTTAATAATGAATTCGAATGATTTTAATTATTACAAGTACAAATCAATTAATAAAAAGTGTACTTTAAAATATAGATATTCTTCATTATTTTTCACTAAGTTTTTTTTTTGTTTTTTGAATATTAATGTATATAACGAAAAATACTTATATATCCGAACTATTTATTTGTATTTGAAAAGAACTTATCCTAATATATTATATGAAAACAGAAAATACAGGTATAACTTCAGGTTTTAAAATAAATCGTTAATTAAAACTGGTTTTGTTTATAAAAAAAATGTACTAAATGTATATTGAATTATTTTTCAACATTAAATATCGTTGACATTTCGACTAAATTAAATATAGTATATGATAGCATAAAATAACAAATCATGGATTTTGTTTGAACGATTAATATTTAGAAAGTAAAAAAGTAATCTTTTCGCTATAATAATTAGGTAATGATTAATACTATTAAAACAATCTATCCATAAAAAGTAAAAATTTTAAATTTCGAAATATGCCAAACTATTACTTTAGATAAAAGTTATTATTTCATGTATGTTTACTTGAGTAAAAATAATTTTTTTTAAATAAAGATAATTTTTCACATTGCACTTTGTTAGGTATCAATTAAAAAGATTTTAATACATATCTCTAGAAAATTAAAATCTGCTGATTGAAAAAGTTAAAAGGTTAAAACGAAAGTTTAAGAAGAAGAACTCCTAAAGTTAATTAGATTTTTAATGAATAAGTACCTACTCAATTTTTAATTGTATATTTTTACAACTTTTTTAAAACAAAGTTTTAAAAATGTGAAGAGTTGTGATTTCTAAATCTATGGATTGAGTTATACCATTTATATATATGGCTAATTGCATTATTTCTTTCTCGTATTTTGCCATATTGTGTTGATGGTAAATTTGACTTTCTCGACGTTTGCCTTAAGTTATATTCGTGACGGAAACATTGATATAGTGAGTAATTATAGTTATAAATCGTCGATTAAAATTCATTTGTATATTGTATATAATGTACTAATGCGATATTCGTCTACTTTTTCTAATTAATTCTGTATTTACCGTTGTACAGTTATTAATCAAGTCTAGTTTAAGAACTCATCGCGCATACCCCAAAACGTATATGATGATCATAGGGAGTTTGACTTATGCATTTCGGTAAATAAACATGAGATTCAAATAAAATTAACGCTATGCATAATTATGACGTACAAAGGAAACATTCAGAAAGCCGGACCGAGTAATATCTATATATATATAACAGAAAATGACGAGCTTCATTCAGCACATTATGCGCGGCCCTCTCTTGAAGTCATTGACCTTGGTTATTTTTCACATCCTTCTATTTATTTCAAAAAGATTTAATGAAAATGAGCAGATACAGCAGTATTTAATTTATGAGAACAAATTTTCAGTGTTGTTATAAATATAATTGTTCTTTAATTGTACCTATAGGACGTTATTTCTCCTATCTAGTTATTTGATTTAACATAGTAGTTGTTTGTTGTTTTATTTTACTAAGTAATTTTGGGTGAATAAGTTACCAAAAATTATTGTACTTAAAATGTACAAATTATAAATATTCTTGATAAAAAAAAAATAAATAATAGTGTATCAAAATGATATTGTTTACGTAATGTTAATAACTTTATCATGTAATAATTTGACTTCGCCTATAAATTAAATTGCACACTAAAATTTCATCTACCTTCTTATGTTTAGAATAAAGATGATAAACATATAATAAATAACCTGTAAAAATATTAACTATACATTTTAGTTAATACTATAAATCAATAATATTTTTATATCATGTATTACTATTAAATAAAGCACTTCAAAAATAGTAATGATGCGTTATACTTTTTAATTAATAAATATATATTTTCATAATATTATACTTTTACTAATAGTTAAATGAATCAAATTGTTTCAAAAAATAATTTAAGTGGTGGTCCAATGTTCGCATTAGTTGACATTTTATTAGTTTATTTTATGCAATAAGTTATTTGAACAAGTATTATATTATAATAATATTAATAAACTTAATATTAAAATTTGAATTTCAATATTTTAAGATCATTACTAAGAATAATCTAATATGGATCACATTTTCATGTGATTCATATTGGGATACAGGAGAGATAAAGTATCAATTTTATTATAACATAAAATATAGTAAGAGGCATTACAAATATATATTTTTCTATATTTGTGATTTTACTTTAGCACGTTTATTTAATTTAACACTACAACATAGTTAATGAACATTCTATATGTAGATAAACTAGAGACATTATAGCGGCAGATTCTATTATGAAAAAAACATTAAATATACATGGAAATGATTTTTTTTTTTTTATTAAGATTATAGGATTTAATAAACATTAAACTTTAATTGGAAATCAGACGTATAAAAGTACAACATTTAGTACATTGAAATCGATGTCAACAAAATTTGCACTGTAATATAAATTTAAATATTGTTATATTATGTTTACTTATTTTAAGGTGGAACCAATTTCGTATTCTTTAAATACATCTATAGTTTAACATAGTTGTACAAGTATAAAATAAAATTTTCTCGGGATATCATAATAAGTCTATTAGTACATCAAATTATACATATGTATTGCATTAGAAATTGTAGGAGGTGTAACATATTTCCTATATTATTTAAAGGTTTACATTTAACAATAGAAACATGCACAAATTCACTTCAAAAAAATAATTCAGACGAAATTCTGGTCGGTTACTTATTTTATACCATAAACATGTATTCTCGATTTTATACATCGATTTATCGATGTATTTCTTAATACAGAAATAAGAATATGAATAAAAATGAATTTATTTACTTACCTGATTATAGTTATAAGCTTAACAGAAATTGACTTTGAGTAGAAAATACAATCACAGAAAAAACGTTTGAAATAATTTTTAAAAGTAAAATATATTTATTTTAATTTATTAATATTTTAAAGTAACATCTTTAAGAATATTTAAGATAAAATTATATTATTGTCTATTACACGCAATTACCACCACCTTTTTTCGGCCATACAGCGAGATAATTGACGGGTAACCACCAATAGCACAAGAAGACTGAAGACGGTAGAGCATACATCGGTTCCTGAAGATATCAACAGTGGTGGCGAAGGTCCATTTACGGCTATGGTGGAATGTAGACAGGTAAACGACGACAGGTGAATTATAAGAGAATGAACTATCATGGAAGAATAAATTGTAAGTATTATAATATAATACTTAAATTAAAGTACGAAAATATCTATTTTCATCATAATATGAAGAAAATAGAGGTTTCTACAAAAATAAAACTGTGAAAGAAATTCAAGATCTAGAATATACCGTTAAAAAGTATGCCTATTAAAGTAGCGATATCTACATTCTGGTCCAGTCTGTTGTTTCTTTAATTTATAAACTCTCTTCACATCAACTTCCATGAGCAACACTGCGCTTTTATTTGTGTTGCTCAACTCTTGACCAGTCTGTGGCCAAATACTGATTCAATAGTCACTTAGATATTAAGTACGTGATGGGAAGAAAAAAAAAGATAAAAGATTTTTCCTTGGGATTCAATGGACATTGTGGCTAAGTTTATTTTAGCCCTTATCTATCCAAAAACAGGCCAAGTGTTAAGCAATACAAGTATACTCACATTTTTTGTAGTAAATTCAATCATAAGTTTAAATTCTGAATATTTTATTCTTGTAGCAAATAATAATTATCAAAACTCGTGAGATCAGTTAGCCAGTTAGAATAATTTGTTTTTCATTTTGTTATTTTTAATTCGAATAATTTTTTTAAAATAATAATTTATATGAGTCATGTACTTCAAAATCAGCTAAAATAAAATAATTTCAAATCTAATATATTTTTTATTTTTTTAAAGGTTATATTGCATGAAAACTTGTAAAAATATTGAACAACTGTCAAGACTATGACTAGTTTTAATTGATCATGGTTTTCCTCATATTACTCCATGAAAATATTTTTGTTGTTCCTGAAAATTTTCAAAAATTGCTTGGCGTTAATTTTGAAATAACACGCCTCAAATGTTTTCTTAGGAAACATTTATAAACATAAACATTTCAAAAAGTCTTATGAAGTTTTAAAAATATTTAAAATGAGCATTTTTAAATATAAAATTTATTTTAATTTTGTAATAAAACGCAGTATTAAAATATGGGAATTAATAACTTTGATGGAAACTGATATATATCATTAAAATATTTGTTGAAAAAAACAATTAAATTTTGTCTTTATTTAAATAATTTGTTCAAAGAGTTAATATAGAGTATTTTGTACATAACCGTAGTAAGATCTCCCTGAAATTTTCCATATGTGGTTAGTACCAGAAGGTTATCACAATAATATATGCTTATCAGTTGTTTTTGTAAATCTCAAATAAAAAAATTTTTGCTACTGTGTTATGCGATATTTTACAATAAACTGTTTTTTAATTCATTTTACATTTATTTTAATGTGATTAATTTATAACAATATAACGTATAATTTATTTGAAATAGATTTATGTATTATTTTGTTTTAAATTTTTAATTTTGCATGAGTGTTATCTAATATTATATAATGAGACTTGTAAATTTCTTTTGTTCTATTGAATTTGTTCTACTTCTTTTTTCTATTGTTTAAAACAGTATCAATTACATAATTTTACATTATGTTTTAAAGTTATCAAAATAATGTTTATTTTATTTATCACTAAATTGGATTTTGCGAACCATAGAAGTTACCCTAGATGGTAAATGTTTTTGACAATCAATGAAAAAAATGTTAACGAATAATGACGTCATATTTTATAACTTTTGTGTATTTAATAATATATGTCTACTTTAAAATTGTTGTGTTTTAGCTATTTTAGTGGGTAATGTTATGGTACTAAAGTTAATTACTATCATAACTGTTATATTATTATTTTCTGATTAATTATTCTTTATTTAGTCTGCATTCATTTTTTTTTTAAATATAAAAATATTAATTATCGAAAAATATATTGCTCAATTAATTTTAATATTATGTTATTCAAAAAAAATATATATATCTGTTAGTTGTGTTCAATTCGTTTATCTGAGTTTATGGCAGTATACCTGGTTAAGTTCTAACAATGCTAGTATAATATATAAAAAACAATTCATCTGGTTTTTTACCCTTATACCTTTGTTTCTTTTTAAATAGGTTTTTGAAATTTTCAAACAGATTAACATCAGGTAACTCAGGGTGCACTGTGAAAACTGAGTCAAGATTTATGTTGAATTTTTTTAAAAGGGGAGAATATCAAAGTTATTATTTTTTATTATTGACACAATGTTTATTAAAATTATACTTCTGGTAAAATTATTTTACAAGCAGTGGTGTTATTTGGTAGAGGGGATAGTTCACAACATAAAATTAACTGTAAGAGAGCTTATTTTCAGTCCCTAGTTATATAAATTCATAATGGTCAAGTCTGTTCTTTATTTAGTTCATAAACTAACGTTACTCCAGTTTTTAAGAACATTTTTTGTATTACTTTCGTTTTTTATAGTTTACACCTAATACTATTAATATATATAAAAGGTGATTGATTTTTAATGAATCAAGTAATTAGTAAAAAAATGAAAATATTAAAAATTATTATTTGTTTTTTTTAATTCATAAATTATTAAGTATTTCTTCGGTTGATACCATAACCTTATAAAGATGTCAATTTTGATTTATCAAATGGAAACATACATCATTAAATGGTCAATAGTGACTTCAGAACTAGTATTTCGAATATTATGGACATTTTTATACCTAGGTGGGAAAAGAGTGCGTCCGAGGAAGGATCCGTGATAAAAATAACACTGCGTTTCCCTCCATTTCTAACCATAATATGTTAATAATTTCCAAAATACTTAATAATAGATAAATTGCAAAAAAATGTGTACCTAAAAAATTAAAAAAAAATATATATTTAATATTATTTATATTTTTTCACTAATTATGTTGTTTATAATGAATAAATCATCTTGTATATGTAGTTTTTTTTTTGTAATAAAAAAAATACTTTTATTCAATTTATAATATACTTTTTATTTTATGCATACTCACATGAATGTGGAGATTATAACCTTTATATAAAAATGATTATATTTGGAGATGACAGATTTTTTAAAAACTTATCACATTGTTTAATACTATCAAAACATTTCTTTGTAATTTTTTTGTAAGGGGAGTATGTTTAACTAGAAAGTTGATATAACTTTACAATATTATAGGGTAATTGTATCTGAATTTTAATTATTTAACAGGTTTAAGTATTAACTTGCCACTGTCCTATTTCATTAGTTTTCGTTTCATGTACTAATTTTTTATGTTTTGTTTAGGTAACAAATAGTGTTTGCGATGGTTCATGTTTGAAAAAGTCGAAGTGAGGTGAGACATGATCATGACGATGAAAAAATTAGTGAATGTTAACTTTCTACGTTACGTTTAGGCGCAATTGTCGCTCACTTAAACAAAAACTGCGCATGTTTACAGTATACTTTGTTATTGCACATGTCAAAACGGCAGCGCGATCAGTTAGTCGCACATTGTCAATAAGACTTGTGTGATTATGATCCTACCGGTTTATGTTCCACTGTGATTCGTTCTAACATCAATTTTACTTGAAAATAAAAAATTGACTTTTTTGTCATAGTGTTTCTAATTTGAAATAACGTTACTTAGAGCCGTCTCTTTTATTAAAAAAATCATTTTATTACTTCGCTTGATTTTGCCTAGGATAAGTTAAGACGCGGCGTCACCGATATAAAGGCGTTGGCGATAATGAGCAAGACCAAATTTTTAATCAGTAACGATATGGTGGCTTCAAAAGATATGTTAAATCCTTTTGTTCATCATCTAGAACTAACTTCCACCTACGACAAACTTAAGGTAAGAAAAATATTTAAAAAATTAAATTTATTAATGTCGAGCGAATCTTTTCAAAGGTTCATTAATTCTATTTTATTTATTTACTTTCGATTAAGACAAAAATATTAATCGAAAATCTACTAAAAAGTTAAAATCGGGGTCATTGCCGTTAATTCATTTATCAGTGTCATAAGCATTTTATTCATGTCAATCTAGTGATTTAGTGGTTCGTCGGCTTTTCAAAATTTTTACTAAATCATTATTCATATGGTTTATTGTTCATAGTTATTTTTTATATAATTGTTACAAACATTTATTTTGTATATAATAGTATATATAATATTATAGTAACTGTATATATTAGACGTTCTTAATGCAGTAAAATACATAAAATATTATTCTATAAATTGTGTATACAGTTTCCTTCTCAATTGTAAGCTTTAAATTAAAATGCAGTTGTGTTTGTCCACTTATGAGGTAGTGTTTCGAAATCAAACGAAACTGCAAAAGTTTAAGCCAAAATAATTCCTGTTAATAACACCTGTTGTATGTGGTGCGGTTTCATCGGTGTAATTCAAGTAATTCATTGTTAGGCTATAATTCATTAAATATTGGCATCCAAAGTTATGATTTACTATCAAAATTAACACATTTGAAAATTATTATAAGATTTTATTTAATTAAAAAAATATCTATGTACATATAATGTAGTAATATTTATTTTTCTCAATAAATTGAACTAAACAATTATTTTAAATAAGCTAATACAATCAAGAATTTTAATTACAAGAAATATTCCCATACACACGTCCTCTGACATAAAATTTGGAAAAAAGAATAGGTTATTTATTAGGAAAATTTTAAAATTTTAACATTATGAAAAAAAAAAAAATCCTAACGTAATTTGTGTTCCCTGAAAGGCCAGATCCGATATTGCTTGTCTATTGACTTTCCGCCAGGTGGGTATTTAAAAATATATGATAGGGAAAGAAAAAAATTCACAGATAATTTTTTTTGTACTTCACTCTGCTTTTGGTTTTACTATAATGTGCTTTTTTTTTGCGTCTGCCCATACAATTTCGCATCTCTCATTGGGCCAATATTAATGATCTATTAGTAAAAAAAAACCCAAATTTGATATTGTTAAAATATCATCATGATAATTTTTCAAAATCTTAAAATATAGTAGCCGGCAAAAATAACGATTTTGTTTGCATTTAAAATTGCAATAACTTTTTTTTAAACTATGAAATACTATTAGAATATATTAAAGACATGTCTTATTAATAGAAATCGTGTTGGAATGCGTTTTCTTTTGATACGCAACTCATAAATATCTAATGAGAATCCTAAGTACAGGAAAGGTTTGAACAAAAGACCAGCTACGTATGTTAAATTTTCATTTTAATTTTAATTTCTGAAACTGTCCTGAACGTCTTCATTCCTTAGATGTATGCTAAATTGAAGTTTTTAAAATGTACTAAACTTTTATAAAAAACAATTTTCCTTGATGACCTTTCTTCTACAAAAAATTGATCGCCAAATAAAAAAATAAAAATTTTCGCAAAAGACATATTTTGTTTTCAATTTTTGAAAATGTTCCGTGATGCCTGTATTCTTCAAATCTATATCAAACTAAAGCTTTTAAGAGAACTTTATGATGAAAAAAAAAATCGTCCCGATGATATAAAAAGCTATTAAAATGGATTTTTTTCCAATATTATGTTGTTGACTAAATCAGTCATATAATTTAAGTATGTTCTAGAAGATAAGTTATAAAACAGTGTAAACAAAATTTTGACAGTTATAAAAAATGCTATATTTCAAATTTTATATTAGTCATGTTTATTGTTTCTTATATTTTTGTATTCATTTGGCTTCATTATGTATCAACATGTTATCTATTCTTTAATATAATTCTAACTATCTCAAATTAGTCATCTTATTTAATAAGACTTACTGTTAATTTACTACTCGTTTATTTGATTTGAATTTTATTTTTAAAGTAATTAAAAATCTTTTTGATAATAATCATTTTATTGAACTTGCATTTAAGATTTATTTTCAAGGGTAATGTGTCTATTAAAAGTACTAATGGTTTGAAATTTAATAGAACTATTTCTAAGATACATATTTGTATTCAACTTATGAATAATAATATGGGATAGAAAATATAGAAGAACTTGCTTTGTAACCCGGTAGTTTTTACTTGGTACTATTATGAACGTGACGCAACGAGATTTTTGCGGAAGTATAGTAAAGGTATAACTGGTAGTACATATGTAACGTACAATAGTTTGATTTACTAGACTTACGATTAAGTATTTTAATAGTATTTTTGTAAATAATACTTGCAGGGAATGTACGATTTATACGATTATTTAATAATAAATGTTAAGTTATTTTTTGTACATGTTGCTAAGTTTATTCATTAATGTAGCAAGTTTTTATTAAAAGGCAATTAAAAACTCTGTATTCACTCATAATGTTATTTTTTATACAATTATTAACTTTCCACTATTATATATGAAATATTTTGCTTTTGGAAAGTGCGATTAACTTTTTTACTTTTAAAATATTCTTACGATAGCTTAATGTGTAAAGTTATTGAACAAATTTTAGAGTGACTTACATAACTATGATTTAATATTTATAGAAACGTTTAATTTACCTTTTTAACTGTTCGCATTCATAAGACATTGATTATATCGAAAGTGCTTCAATCCCCTTTTGATATTTTTTTAATTTCGTGTAGTTTAGAATTTTTATTTTTATCATCAATTTGTATTACTCAATTTATAGAAGTAAGCATGGATCAAAATAAATCAATAATAATTTTTATTAATCTTAGAAATTGTTTGACTAAAATGAAAAGAAATATTTTGTAATGTTTTAATGTATCAAACAAAATAAAAACACATTTTGTTTTTTATTTAAATTATGTTTATTATTCTATTATTGTAAGTTTGAACATTAAAAGTAGTGATGGGAAATATCGAATAGTAACTATCGAACTATTCGATAGTCATTCAAAAACTATTCGAATAGTAAAAATATTCGATAGTCTATGCTAAAAATAAACTATTCGGTTGTATAAACACAATTCGAATAGTTAATCGATGTTTAAAATATTAGAAAATGCCCATCACTAATTAAAAGCCAAGTTGTGTTTAATTGAAATCACGATTAATCAAAGATTACATTATAGAGTATAATTTATGAACGAATAAAACTCTTTATGAAAACATAATTGTATTTTAGTACTTGTGTTCTTTTATTATTTATAATGTAAATTTTAGTAAAAAATAATTATTTTTAAATGATATTTTTTGTTATCAGTCTTATTACATACACAATATAAGATGTACACGAGAAAATGTGAAATATAGAAAACCGCTATTATTTTTTTTCATTTACAATTTTATCCTTGTAGCTATTTTTTAAATATAAAAGAGTTACATGTTATTCTTGAACATTTTGAAAACTTCTATGATTAGAAAATTAAAAGGCTGTATAGACTATTAAGAGCTTTTAAGCTTAGAGCATTTTTCATTTACTGGGACAATATCCCTGTACATCAAAATGTTTGGACCAGTAACCCTAAGTATAATATATATTCTTACATGAAAAATTCATTATATATATACAATATAAAGTATTTTTGAAAATGTCTCATTCAATCATCCATATTATATCAGTGGCAGATTCGTAAAATAGATGTTCATGAAATTGAGTACCTCATTGGTGGCCTTCATACATAGTCTCAGCGTATCAAGTAGTTTAAATTATTTCGCCAAAATTATATATATTAGATAATTATTTTGTTCTTTGTTTTTAAATAATTAAAATTATTTTTTTCTACAAACTTTATAAGAAATATATTTTTATTGTTAAAAATTGTATTAAAACAAAATATTGCCCAAGATAATTGAGGTATTCAAAAATAAATTAGTATTGAATCGTGTTATGGTGAATATAAAGAGCTATTTCCGGAAAGTGTTAGTGTCGTTTTAAATATTTAAACGAAGGCGAAGTATATGTTTTGGAAACCTGTTATCATTGTGTTAACTATGGTATACAGGAATTAGTTTTTTCTTTTTATATCAATAAAAATTAAAATAATTTTTATTTGTAATTTATAGACAACATTTTTGTAATCTTAAATTATATAATTAATTTTGTATTAAAATTTATAATGTGTTATAGTTGATACGACACATTATACGGGATTTAGTGTTTAAATAATTTTGGACAATAGATTTTTTTAATATTTCAGAAGTTTACTTCATAGACTGGTGTAATGTACTGTTTCAAGAATAGTGTTTTTTGTCTAGGAACTTTTGTTATACTTCGGTACCTAATAATCTAAAGTATTATTTTATAATTAATGTATTCAACAACGTTGTGGTGTTTGATATCCTATTATAACCTTACAATTTGTGCAATGTATTGTCATGTTTTTCTATAGTAAACATTAACCTTTTGCCGTTTTAATGTTTTATTAACAAAAGTTTTATAATTCTTTATTGAGTAACAATAAGTACTTAGTATATGTATAAGAACTAGCTGTTAATTAGAATTAATCTATTTTTATTTGATGATAATGTACTTATAATTTCATGTACCTAATATATAACTCAAATTTAAAACTCTATTACTCTATTAATTATTAATTAAAGAATTTTTAAAGTTAAATTTATCGCAGTAAGTTTAGAAACAATATAAATTCTTCTTCGTGTTTTTAATCTAACATTTTTTTTTATTAATTTTGTAATTGATGAACAAACGAAAGGGATGACATTATTTATGTTTTTAAATGACATATTATTGTCATTAATAATGACAATTATTAAACTATTGTTTTAATAAAATACTAAACTTTTTCTTTTTATTGTTTACTAAAATATAATATTGAACAAAAAGTATACTTATTTTTAAAATAGTTAATTTGAAACGATTTTAGAGTTAGTTATGGTTATTTTTTTTATATTATTATTTATGATATATTTTTTAGAGTTAGTTTTCTGGGTAAAAAATATTTATCATTTGTTGTGCATGAAAAAAACTGAAGTATTTGGTTCGACTGAAATTGTTGAAACTGATTAGATAGTTCTTTGAGATAGCAGTTACTTAATGATTAGGTTGATTATGAGGATGAAGAGAGATTTTATTTTAATATGACTTCATTATTCTTTTCATGTGCCAAATGTGTAGAAAGCTAAAAACATTTCCTTACAAGATGAGCTTGACATTGCGTTTATTTATGTAATAGTTTTCATGGTTGTTTATTTTTTAAAATTCATTTAACGTAACCACCGTAATGTGATATTTTTTTACTAAATATGCGTACTAAACATTGCATAATTGTGGGGGGTCATATAGGTCTGACTTCCATATCAGTTTAGTTTACTTTCGATTTTTGCGTTAACGAATATGTACAAATAAAAAATATGCATTCATTATGTTTTTTAGGATTTACAAATAAAATAAATTCAACTGTTTTAGATAATGTTTCACTATGGATAAATGTCTATAACTCCTAAGTTTATTCTTTTACTTTTCAAAATGTATAACTGACCAAGGTTTAATATGTGTTTGTCTTTAGCAATATCAACCCGACAAAAATTGTGTATGGATTTTTATTGACCTTGTATTGTATGTAACGTTAATAATATTTAGTATTGTTAACATGTTGAGGAGCCCAGACAATTTTTTTGTAAATAGTCTCAGTTGCGTTTGATTTTAATTAAATCATTATACCAATCTAATTTAGTATTGATTATAGGGGAAAATAAAGGCTATCATATTTGAAATACTCAATAAAGTTTTTTTTTTAGTTTTAAAATTTTTGAACGACAATTACTCTTAAACCCTTTTAAACGTAGATAACAATTTTAATCAATAAATTTCTTTTACAGACTGCGTTCTTTACTATAGTTGTTTTGCCAATTCGTATTGTCATCATATTGTCTTTATTGACATTAGCATGGATTCTTGCAACGATTGGGTTGATGGGTCTTAGTCAAGAAGAACTATCAGCAAAACCAATAACTGGATGGCGACGGTAAGTTAAAAAATCTTTTACTTATTGTAATGATTTGCTAGTATTAGTAATAAAATTAATAACCCAAACGGTTATAGTTTTATGACCTTCGTTATCATAAATCATATTTTTAATTTTTTAAATTGTCATATTATTTTTCATGGTGAATTATGATTTAGCAATTGCAAATAATGAGAACTATCTGTCTAATGGGTATATTGTCAGCCCATAAGTTCCGTTTAGAAAGCCAAGGTTACAGTATTGACTGCGATATGTATTTGCTGTTAATTATCACTTCCACTGTTGTTTTCTTTCACATATGTTGCCAAATAAAAAGTATCATTCGTTGCACCCACGTTTTAGTAGTTTTCTATCTGTTAATTGTTAATCGTTTATTTACAATTCACTGTTCTACTGTCATGTCGTTCGTTAATTTACTCTTCAAATTAATTCAGTAACTTATGATTAGAAGTCTGAACTATACTTTTAATTTTAAAAGCAATCACATTTAAACTATGATAAGATGTAAATAGCGATATTTATGTTGCTTTTTTAATTACATAGAAAATGTTACCATTTTTATAATTTAAGCGACATGGTCTTTTGAACTTAGAGTCCATTTATTTAACTATTTATTCAATCTATGGTGTGGTATTGTGTGATAACATGTATTCGCTTCAAATCTATTGCAATACAATAAAAATACAATAAACTAGAAGTAATTTTTTTGAATTTATCAACATAAATTCATTTTAATTACTTCTAAGTCGCCATTCGATTAGTCTGATGTCTATATTATTTAAAATTAATTATAAAATTAAACGGCTCTATATATTTTTTATCTTTATTTTCACAAGTATGTCCGTTGTTATACTATGTTTTTGATTTGCAAATATCTGTAATTTTTAACATAATATTAATTATAATGTTTTTAAAAACATGCACGCTACAGGTGTTGGGCTTTTATTTAATTAAATTTTAGTTGGATGAAACGTACAGTTTATGTGATCACCCGTACAATGTTTTTTGCCGTCGGTTTTCATCGGATACGTGTGATCGGCGAACAAGCCACACGACAACAAGCACCAGTACTGGCCGTGGCACCTCATTCTTCTTTTTATGACGGTCTTGTCGCTATTGTAGCGGGTAGCCCAATTTTAGTGACCAGAGAAGAAAATTCTACAATACCTATAATTGGAAGTACGAAATCCTCTGTGACTAATGTATTTACAGCTTGTTTTTCCCTGAGTTTTCTTAAAGTATTTTGTTTAACTTATTTGTTTTAGTAGATTGCTTGCATGGTAATTTATATTCATAATATCTGTAAAAATATTGTAGTCTAGTTAATTGATGTTTCGATGCCTATAAATTTCTTTTTAACACTAAATATAGAATCTTAATTGCATGTATTAAAGCTTAAATGTAAGTATTAACATTCTTCATATTTGGATATTATTTTATGGATTAAAATAACTAAAGAAACAATTTTTTAAATGATATGTTACATTTATGTAAGTCTAGCATTTTTTGACATTGTTTAAATTTTACTGCAACGTTCCTAGTTTTGGTTCTTTTAAATTAGTGTATAGTTTAAAATTTGATTTAAACTTTATGCACGAACAGATTATTATTCTATATATTTATGAATATAACTTTTTATATATTTAACCTTATTAAGACATTTAAATAAAAAATGAAAGATCTCAAGGTTGGTTTGGGAAATTCATAAAAATATTATGTTTCAATAATTATTTGTTTGTATTTTTCTTAAGAGTCTGTTTTGTGTCTATTAACAGTTCAATTTATTTTCATATAAAATAAATCAATTTACAATTAATGTGTCAATATCTAATGTATAAAATGGAGAGTTGAATAATTATCTCCCCTAAAAATAAAATAAAAATGTGTGTAATAGTATACATAGTATGAAATATTAACCGAGAAATTTTATATTTTTAAAAGGTATTGAATCTTTTGACAAGTGTATTATAATAACAAATGTTTATAGATAAGATGATTATGATTGAATGAAAAAATATATAATTTAAGATTTAATAACTTTACAATGTAATTGTTACTAAGTTAAAAAATATTGTCCACTTTTAAGCGTGGGTGCTTATTAAAATCAAGCAAACTTTTTAAATTAGATATATTTTATGAAAAATTTAACGAATACTTACGTTTCACTTCATTTTAATTTATTTGTGATATATTGTTCTCATTATTTTTTATATGACACATTAATATTTTTGTAAATTATTTATGATTTATTTATGCTTTTATTTTTTAGTTATTTCCGTCATTGGATATGTATTGTTGGTCGCGCAGTTTACCTTGCGGGTGGTATGAAAATTGTTATCAAGGGGGTTCAAGCATCCCCTAAAGAAGCCCCCCTATTGGTCGTTGCTCCCCATTCTACATTTCTTGATTCTTGTATAAGCTATGTGACTGGGTTTCCTTCCATCATCTCTAGAATTGAAGACGGACTTAACCCGTGGCTGGGAAGTATGTGAAATGTGTTTAAAAAACTAAATAAAATGTTAATAGTTCATTATAAACAATGGGAATTATATAATTATATTATCTATAATGCATAATAACTTTTAGTGAGACTACAACTGCCACAACTAGTGTATAAATATATAAGTGTGATCAGTTAAATTATATTACATTATCTTTACATTAATCTATTCACGTAATTGTCTAGTGAGTTTGAATTTTTATTTTATAGCACAATTATTTTAGAAAGTATTGTCATTTGCTTAAATTTTTGTTGTAAAACTGTGTTACATTTTTAACAAATATGAATTTTTATTATTTTAATATTAATTTTTAAAAATAAATTTTCTTAAACGTGTTAAAATTGTTATAATAGCGTATAATTATTTTTTTGTTAATATTTTCGTATTGTTTTGATAGCGGTATTTTATTATGTGTCATTTTTGCAGGAGTAATTAATTTTACGCAGCCCGTCTATGTTCGAAGAGATGACCCAGAATCTAGACACAACACGATACAAGAGATAATTCGACGTGTAAAATCCGACCAAGAATGGCCTCAGGTATAATATTATTGTGACGAGTATATTTTTTTATAATACACAAATAATCGTATTAGAGTGTTATGTGGTTTATCAAATCATTTATCGAACCGTAGGATGTAGTAAAATATTAATGTTAAAATATTATTGGTCATGGGTGTCCAAAAAAGTATTTTAATGTTGGTATTTGTCCCAAGCTGCGTAAAGAGAAGGTAATACAATTATTATTTAGGTTATATCTCAGTGTCTTGCGGAACAAATAAAAAATTATGAAAATTATGATATTTATTTTTATTTTCCGTTTTAAGGTTCCTTTTTTTATCAATTTTATGATAAATATTTTTCAATTAATGAATGACTAATTTGGTATTATAAAATTGCAAATTGAATTAAAAAAATTGTTCTATAATACATTAAATTTTGTTATTGTAATATTTTTAAGCCAAGTAAAAGTTTTTACCATTTTCATGCTATTTTTTATACAGATTCTAATATTCCCTGAAGGCACTTGCACTAATCGTTCATGTTTGATAACGTTTAAACCTGGCGCTTTCTATCCAGCTGTACCCGTACAACCGGTTCTACTACGATACCCAAACAAACTTGACACTGTTACATGGACTTGGGATGGTCCAGGAGCGTAAGTTTTTCAAGTTCTATTGACATAAAAAATTTCAAATCAATTCTGTGTATTTCTTTGTAGGCTAAAACTCTTGTGGTTGACAATGACCCAACCAGCCACGTCAGTTGAAGTTGAGTTTTTGCCGGTGTACGCGCCCAGTGAATATGAAAAACAAAATCCTAAAGCATTTGCTGAAGGTGTCAGAAATGTGATGGCTAAGTAAATTTTTTTTAACTAATTTTAAACCAGGAAGACCAGTACATAATCTATTTAGATTTTTTAAGTACAAAAATGTTTTTTCTTTATGGTAAACTATTAAAGCTGAAAAAATATTGGGGTTTTGCTTTTTATTGTTTATAAAAATGAATAGTTTCAACACAATTTTGAGTACAATATGCAGTTTGTCTAAATGAAACTTTTTAAACTAAATAAATTTAACATTTTTTACTATTTAAACAAAATGGAAAACGTTATTAATAATAAAATATGTAGGAAATGTATTTTATAATTTATACATTTTTTAAGTTCATAAGTGCAGTCAAATTGTGATATATTGTAGTACAAAAAGTTCTCAACCTGAATTATTTCTAATGTTTGCCTTAACTTTGATATTATATCAAATATTGTTTTTTTTTTATACTAACAAATCGTATTCTTTTTGTTTAGAGCTTTAGCTGTACCAACAGCAGATTACACTTACGATGATTGTAGAGTGGCTGTTAAAGCTAGTCAATTAGGTCTTCCTATGTCTTCTAATTTAATAATTGTAGAAAGGCTTCGGAGTCGATTAGGGTATGTTGAATGTTACATGTTTTAATTTTTGTTTAAAAACCTAAGTATTTATTTATATTGCTATATTGTTATTTATTAATAGATTAACAGGAATTGCTTTAGAAGACTCAGCTTTAGTGAAAAATATGTTGTTATTTCAAAACCAGATGGCATACCCAGTAGATTTGTCAGACTTTGCTAAACATTTGAATGTGTCAGTTGAAGATAGCTCACTTATCAGTTTATTTAAAATGTATCAAGAGGTAATTTAGTAATACATATATATATTATATCAGTATTGAGGGTTAAATTTAGGATATTTGGTTTATTTAGATGTCCAGCAAAATAACAGTTATAAACAATTATAAAACCTCTTTTTTACCTTAATGAGTTATATTGACCATTAAAATTTTTTTCTATTAAGTTTTATTTCTTTATATGGATGAATTATGTTGATTTGTAAATTGTTTACTAATAATTGGCTCAATACAAACAAAAAAATCAGTAGAAATAAAATTGAATTAAAATTCCTTATTTAAAATCTTAAATAAAACTAAATTATAATTTTATTTTCATAGATGGAAAATTTTTTGATGGTTAATAACGTCATTAATTAACAAATAATAGTTTCGATTATTTAACATTAATTTTAAACAAAAAATTTGGTTTATTACTCAATTTAATAATAAAAGATGAAATTAAATTGTTTTTTTTTTAACTTTTAATTTTATATATATACTGTTGTAAATTCCAGGATGAAAATTCAATGACAATTGATTTTAAAAAATATTTGTTAACAGAATATATTTTACAAAAAGCAGTAACCAAAGAAGATTTAGTCATTCTAGCTTTTAAAGTAACAATTGTTTAAAAAAATTGTATATTTTTTAGAATTTGATATTATAGAAATGAGGTTATTTATTATATAAATTATTTTTTTATGTTATAGCTTTACAATGAATATTTTAATATGAACATGTTTGGATATGTTTTAAATTTGATATATAATACATCTAAATCAGAGGCACTCGTTTTATATGGTGAAATGACTGGAAATCCAAATAAAATAATATTATGTAATTATTTTTAAAACTTAAAAATTGCATAAATTTTAAATTATAATTTATTTGATATTGAGAGACTACTTACCTCCAATTAATATAAATTTTATAATCTATAAACTTTTCTAACTGACATTTCTGAATTTAATATTTTCATATATAATATATTTATACTTTTAGCTGATTATATGAAATATAATAAAAGTCACCCTGAAAAAATGGAAGAATTACTAAATAACAATATAAATTCATCTCCTAGAACTGTAGCAGATTTTTCAAGTTGTGGTCAATCTTTAGAAGTTTTTGGTGATAAAAAGTATCAATGACAGGAAGAAACATCCAAATGTACAATTGTACCTATCACAGACTGACGAAGTTAAAATTTTAGAATTTGTTTGTTTACCTTACGAGTAGAAATTGTTATTTTGTATATTATAATTAAAATGAATTAGTGTATATATATATATACACACACAACAGAACTGATGTACAGGGATAAGAGGCTTTTTTAAATGTGTTAAATTATTAAACATTAATATTTCCAATTAATATTAGACATTACCATAATGTCAATTTTTTCCTTGAGATGTTTTGCTTTATTTATTGTTTGTTACAATTTTAACTTCCAATATTTTCTTCCTTTAACTTTTAAATAATAATTTGAGGATAATTTTTACAAATGGAATCGCATTATTATTAATTGAAATATTTGTTTTTCAATTTGTGGTAATCCGTCCTTGTGTTAAGTTACCACTTATCTTAAATGATACAACATTAGTTTATAATATATTGCTTTATAATTATAAATTAATTGATTGTTTTAACTATTGAATTAATTTTAAAAATTATGATTGATAATTTATGTATAAATAAAAATCTTTATATCTTCTAAAGGGTTTTAAAAGAATAGCATTTTCATTTAAAAAGAAAAAAATATTCTTTTACATACCTGTTTGTTCTTAAATAAATAATGTTTTTGTAAGTATTCTCATATATGAATTTAATTATTATATTATGTATTAATTGTATTTTGGATGTAACAAAATAATTCCTTATTTACGAAAAAGTATTTTGTATAATTATAACTATAAATATTATGTTCCTTGTTTCAGTAAAAATAAAGAAATTAAAATTTCTAGAAAAAGTTTCATGGTAATTTATATATAAAGATTTATGCTTGGGTGCTAGCTAATTTTTTAAATCATTTTGCATTTTTTTAATTAAAAATAATTAAAATTAAACAAATTTTACCAACATCCAACTGCGTAATTTTTTTTTTACATATTTTTTAGATAATAAGTTTGATGACAACAATTTTCATGTCGTTTCAGTTAAAAATATTCAAATCGCAGACAAATAATGAGAATTTTTAAGCACTGTAAAATTAGATATTTTTGGTTTTTTTTTTGGTCATTTACTGTCGAATAATTTCATTTTTTCAATATGCTAGGTAAAAATCACATGAAAACGCATATTTTAAGTTATTCCAACTAATTTATTTAGATACGAATATATTTAGAAACTTTATTAAAACATTATTTTTTTTTACAAATATACAATATTGGTAATTATTGAAAACCTTTTGTTTCTAATAATTAATTTTAATATTAATAGTATACTAAGGATAGGAATCGAAATTTAAAATATTGGTTTACAATTCGAAACCGATATGGAACATAAAAATTAACTGAAATTTCAATACGATTTTTAATTTGGTAATTGAGTATTTGAGTATACAATGTATCTTAACTAATTAAATATATATTGATTTATATTAAATTATATTATTATTTTTATTAGTTATCAACTAAGTGCTAGAAAATAATAACTCGAAAACTTAATGAGAAGCTTTTCTTAGAAAATACGACTTTTTTTGTCTTTTTTTTTTCAAAAATATATCATACTATGGGTGTTATTACCAAGGATCGTAACTTATAGTATTAACATTTTTTTCTAGGGATATCTACGTAAGTTATAAATTTGTTAATTAAAAAGCTAAATTCGAATTTTTTATCTTTGAATGATCAATCTTTATAAACTTTGATTCCATAGATTTAAATGATTTTAAAGCGAGTATTTAATTTCTATGGAGAAAGTCTAGCAGTTTTAAAAAGATTTTTTGTGGTTCATCATTTAAAATCTTTAATATTTTGATTGTATTTGGGTCATAAAAATGCACAAACTTTAAAGAAGCTATAAAAATGCATAAATTTTAGAAACCGTATAAATGCACTAACTTTAAAGAAATCATAGAAATGCACAAACTTTAAAGAGAGAGGCCATAGAAATGCCCAAATCTTAAAGAGGCCATAGAAATGCACAAACTTTAAAGAAGCCATAAAAATGCACCAATGTTAAAGAAGCCATAAAAATGCACAAACTTTAAAGAGAGAGGCCATAGAAATGCACAAACTTTAAAGAAGCCATAGAAATGCACAAACTTTAAAGAAGCCATAAAAATGCACCAATTTTAAAGAAGCCATAAAAATGAATAAATTTTTAATGAAACCATAAAAATGCGTAAATTTTAGAAACTGTATAAATGCATAAACTTTAAAGAAGCCCTAGAATCGTATAAAAAATTATGAAGTATAAATGCACACATTTTAAAGAATCCGTAGAAATAAATATACACTTCATTAAAAAATATTTTCGAAATAAGCACAATTATTATAAAATGAAAGAAATCTTTCCGCAGAGAATGTGGAAAATCAAGGAATAAATAACGTATAATCCCAATGTTTCTTAGGAAAATGAAGATTAATATATAATAGAAAAATGAGCTCAAGTGAACTTATCAAACACTAAAATGAAAACAAACAATAAAAAAACTAATTATCTTATAATATTATAATGTAAACATTTTAAAACTAATATTTGATTATGTTGGGGTGAGCGGGCAAATTGACAACCTTGAACTTTGACTAGTTATGTAAAAGAAAGCATTAATCATACAACCCTGAAATATAGTTGATATATAACTGTATTAGTAAAAATTTTATTACTTAATACTAATTAGTTTAGGTATAATTAATAAAAAAAGTGAACATCATTTTGCCACAAATGTAAAGCAAGATGATTATTTCTATGACACAAGTTAACTTTAACTATATTAAATTTCAGTAAATTAGTAAAACAAATTAATATTCATAATAATTTGAGCTTAAGAATTTTATTACAGTAAATATAATACAAAAACTTTGCATTCACCTTTTTTTTGCAAAATTATAAATATTTAACTTATAAGTCACATATAACTTGATTACAAATTTTATATACTGAAAATAGTTATTTAATATTAAATAGAATGTTCAATGTTATGTTATGGTTAAATTAGACCATAATAGGATGCGAACAGATGAAAAGTATTCATATTATATTAATTAAGACATTATATTACAATAATAATAATTAAAAATAAAGACTGATGATACAAGTTACACGAGACACGCTAGACAATAACAAAGATGATAACAGTATGACCAATAATGTAACATTCAGTAAGTGAGGAAACGGGTATGTATTGTTTTTTTTATCGTCATTGCTCTAAAATTTAGAGTCTAAATAATTAAACATGTCAATAAAACCGTTGTTATTGAATAAGTTTGGTCATCGAAAATATTCGCATGGAATATTTACAATGATAATTTTTACTTTCTTAAACCATTTTTAAATAATAAATAACATTTTCAAAAAGATCATTTTGCTCCAAGCGTCAACTTGGTCTGCTCTTCAATATATATAACTATTAAAATAAATCTCGTTTATTAATTTTATAAAAATTAATTTTTAATAAACCAATAGAATATACTTACAAAGTGTTTTTATTTATTAAATATCATAAACAAGATTTATATTATTGTAATACACAGATAAATTTTAGTAGTTAAAGTATTTATATTTGTCTTCTAATATTATATATATAAATACATATAATTTATTCTGATTAATCAGAATGAATTAAATTAATTAAAAATTGTATAGCATTAGACCTCAAAATATTATGGAAGTAATAAGCATAAACCTTAAGAATGTTTTATCGGCGGTGGATTGGTGAAAAAATTGATTAAACTAACAAAAGTTTTCGAGTTCATTTAATAAATTAATATTTGTGTGATTTATTTATTAATACTAATTGTATGTTTTTATAAAATAATTCGTTACACTCAAACATTAAGTAGATAATTGTACTTATTTGTTTAAACTTACGAATTACGCTAAAAAACTATGGTAATCTTAGATGCAATATTTTGTATTAAACATTAACTGTAAACTTTAAACATGGAGTTGAAAACGTTTTTTTTTTTTAATTACACATTACCCGGTATAATGTTATTGATTAGACATTTTATTAGCAAATAAAAAAGTATTATTATTTTAATCGAGTTATAGGTTTTAGAATGATATTTTCTTTTTTACCAGAACAAAAAGAAAATATTATATAGAGTGTCCCACCGTGATTTACTAATTTGCCTGTATAAACTAATGTTAATATTAGTAAATCACGATGGGACACCTTATGTATAATAGCTATAATTTAATTGGAAAATTTATTATTATTTTTTTTTTTGATGAATTTTTCAAATGACTTGAGCTGTTTGTATATTAAAAAGTTCTATATAACATAACTTAACATAAAAGTTAATTATATTAAAAATAACATTTATAAATAATGTTAAAAATACTCATTTTTTGCACGTATCTTGGTTCGGTTAATAACACTTGATAGTTATGTCAGATGTTATTGGATGCGATATGAGGGCGGCTGATGATGTGGGAGATCGTGTCAAGTGGAGGTTTAGGATATGGGTGGCCGACCCAAAGTAGTTGGGATAAAGGCGGGAAAAAGGAGAAGTTACGTCAGTATTCGTACATATTATAAATTTAAATTTACAGGACCAGCTGACAACGTAAACATATTTTTGGAAAATTCCGTTGGAGAAGTTGCGGTGTAACATTTAATTAATCTGATGGACAATCTTTCGTTTTCACAGGTCATGTATTATTAATTTATTTCATTATTAATTATCCTTGTTATTCGATTGCTTTAATTAATACGACTCTTGGTTGTTTTTCTAAAGAGATATAAACTAATTACAAACCCTGAGTATTTTGATGCCAGTCTATTGGGTTATTGTTAACGGGCATTTGCTCCAAATAGTATCGCATCGCTATTAAAAATTAAATTTTTATTTGTTGAGATTTAACTGAATAAAATAAAATTTAACCAGCACTCTTCATCTGACATATGAATTTAAGTGCATGCACATGCCCGTTACAGATACGCAGCAGTATTTTTTTATTTACTGCTCATCCAAACTTTCTTTGAGAGTCTTGTTTTATCGTGAAAACTTCAGGACAAGTTATAATTGAGTTGTAAGCTTTTAAATGCATACAGTAGGTATGGAACGCGAGCGGAGTGTACGTACACCAGAATGAGTTAAACCCATACATTTTACATAGTCTGTTATCGACCCATTAATTTTTTTTGTAGGAAAATAACCAAATAAATGGCTAGTTTTAAATTTAAAAAAAAAAAAGATAATTTTTTCCTTATTAGAGACAAATATTAAAAAATATACTTTTGAAGTAACTCGAAACTTTGAAATTAATTGAAAAAAAAGTAACAAAATAGTTTCTGAATCAAAAGTTATTAAATATATCAAAATCTGGCAGGTCAGTCTTTGTAATCTAAATGAAGATCAAAATAAACTCGAGTAAACTTACTAATAGTTCGTAAGATCAACAAAAAAATAAAAACATTAATGAATCTTAAAGTATTTTAGAGTAAACTTTTTTAAACTAAATTTTTTTATTTTATACATAACTATTATTTTCATTTCGTAAAACTCAAAAACAGCTTTTCATTGTTTTTTTAACTTTCAAAATTCATATATCTTAATTGAACACAAATGGGAAATCGTTTCAAAATCAAATGACTTTTGCAGCTCGACTGCCTTTTTCGTATCATAAGAGTGGTAATCGTTGTCATTCTATGAGTTTCTGTTAATAAATTGATTTGTACAAATTCTAAATTAAAACTTTCCAATTTGTTTTATATTTCAATATTCGTTTATTATGTACCACTAAGTAATTCAGTTAAAATTTACTAAGAAAAAAAATTAATTTCGTAAAAATCTAGTATTTTTTTTATTATTATTGAGATTTTTTCCAAACCAGGAGCCTTTCAGACAGTCCTTGCGGGTAGATCACAGATTCTTGTAGAGTATTCGGTTATTTCGGTCACGATAAGTTTTTTACATAAAAAATATTATTTCAATAATAACATAGTAAAACGTATTAAGTATACGGTCGATATTTGGCCGAGATCATCGCAATAATAATAATTCAATTTGACACTATCTTTGGTAGCAACTATATTAATAAAACTGTGTTATGCAGTTATAAATAACAATATGTTACTATACATAGAACTTTATACTTATGTAAAAACCTCCAATGAACTAATTATACTCTACTTGGTTTCGACATTTAGGGAATAGTACAGTATAGTAGTAGTAGTAGAGTATATCACTTAAAATATAATATTAGTACCTGAAAAATATATAGATGATTTTTATGATTCTAAAAAGTAATTATTAAATGATATATCAAGAAATTTATGAAACTAAAATAAATTAAAAAATGTTTTCCAATATTGTAGTGATTTTTTGAGTAATCGAGTAGCTTATGATAAACCGATCATTCTGTATGTATTTGTTGAGTGTGCGCACAAAACATAGTATCAAAACAAAATCTATGTATACAGACTTAAAAAAAAAGCTTATGACTCGATCGAAAACCGACGGATTTCAATGCAATTTTTCAGGGTACTTTCAGAATGCTTCTGGAAGAGCCTGTTAAAAATTTCAGGTTCAAATCGAAAAACTTTGGCTGCAATGAGCGCATTTGCCAACATTTTTAAACGCTCAAGAAGTACGAAAATTTTTTTTATGAATAATGTCGGTGAGCTTTTTCATTTAAAGAAAACAATTTGAAAATCCAATATTGTTAGATAATTTTTTCAGTAATAGCTAATTTGTTAAATTATTTATCAATTAATACGATTTATATATTAAATTAAAATGATAAAATTAGACCTCATGTACATAAGGAAATTATTTTAAGAAATAAAAATTACACGGCGATTAATAATTTCTGTATTTAATAACATGAAAAAAATAAATAAAAATAAAACAAAATTTGGCAAGTACAGTAATTAATAACACACTAAACGTATTACGAATCTATCTTGGAAGACCACAATTCTTACTACATATAAAAATGTTTGACAACTATTCAACTATTTTTACATAAAAATATACATTTATAAATGTAAAAACGTTATATTACAAATACTGTTTGTTTTAACAGCTACACGAGTGTACATATAACTGATACGAAGCTAATTTCACTGTATACTACAATTTTTATCATCCGCCGGTTGTCCGTTTGTTTGTGCGCCAATACTGCCGTTAGGTTTTTTACAATTGGTAGTACCGTAAGCGTTGGCTTGTTGTTTGGCGTAAGCAATGGCATCGTTTGGCACCACGTACGATATCCTGGCCGCTCCGCTATTGCCTGATCCGGAAGCCTTTTTCGGAGGCAATCGATAAATGGACAAATCGTCCAGTTCACTGCCGGAACTCGAGGAACAGGTGGAACAGCAACTGTGCGAATCGTCATCGTCGGCTAAGCGATTGCTGCTGGACGGACGAATGTCGTCGTCGTCGGAATGAAGCGGGGGAGGCGGAGGTGGACGCCGTCTCCTGCGTCCGTTTCGGCGGCGATCGGGACGACTTTTCTCAGACGAAGAAGCAGTAGCCGCGTCAAACCGAACGCTCCGTCTCCCAGGCGACGCCATCAGTTCGGGAGTCGATTGCTCCATTACCGCCATTGGCGGTGGCGGTTCTAACGAAGAGTCGGCTTTTGGCCGCCAAGAAGGCGAGGAGAACGTTTTTTCACCAGCCGTCAACTTTTCGAATTCGGTGAGGAGTCTGTCTGTAATTTCTTCGTCGGTGATGAGCTTTTCGATAAATCGCTGCGGTAATTTTCCGTTACTCAGCAGTTGCTGTAGTCCGTACAGCGTGTCGTCCAGCCGACGTCCAACATCGGGTTCGTCATTTCCCACGTCTCGATTATCGTCATCGTCATCGGTCGAGAAGCGACGACGATCGTTGACCACTGTCAAAACACTTCTGGACTGCACCTGTACGACATCGTTGCACCGTCGCCTATTGCGATGTGTTTGTCGTAGCTGCACGTCTAAATCGGTTGGCCGGACAGCGCCGCCATTGGCTGCATTTTGACAGAGCGCTAAGGTTTGATCAGGCGTTCGTTGTCGGCATTGTTTATGAATTGGAGAAGGTGAGGGGGACGCTGTTTTTCCACAAGAAAGAGACGTCGAGTGAAATGTTTCGGCGTCCCTCTTCGGTAATCGATTTAGTCCCATCGAAGAGGTTGCATTAAGTTGATGTAATGGTGTAGGTGAACTGTAAAAAAAAAAAAAATTGTGAAAAGAAATCCGACTATTTAAAAATAATGAAAATAATAGCTAATCGAACAAAAAAGGGCGGTATTTGAGAAATTGATTGTTACTTATATTTGTATTAAAACGAAAATATCAGATTTTAGAAACCGGATGATAATTGACTAAACGAGAAATTTATTTAAAGTTCTGAGTAATCGTAGAAATTAAGACACAGTATTAAAGTCGGTCAGTAGTTTTTAATAACTGACTCAAAGCATTTTTTATTGTGCTTGATATTTTTTATGGTCTAAAACGTGTGGGAATAAACTTTGGTTGACGTTTACGAATTAGAAATTTATCGTCAATAGTACAATCGGTCGTATTTTATGTTCGAGTAATAAAATTAAAAAATAAACCTACGCGTCGTGTGTCCTTCTGATGGCAGTTGGTGAGTCGGGTTCAACTGCGGCTGGTTGTTGATGTTGTGTGGGAGCTGCAGCTGCAGCCGCCGCGGCCACATCGGCCGCGGCAGCAGCTTCCGACTCGGGTTGTTGAGACGCCAGTCCCAGCGTACTACCTCCGTCTGAAGGAGGCGTCGTGGCCGTCGGCGGTTCGCCTTTACTGCAGACTATAGAGCAATAGATGGCGCCTCTGCGTGGCAAGAATGGACGACCCAATAATGAACACCTGCACGTATGACAGCAAAAACACTGTTCCGTAGCATGCCAGTGTTGACCTTCATGACTCATTTGTCCTGCAAGAAAAATTTTTATTAATCACAAGAATAATGAAACATTTGAAAATAAAAAACACATCAATGATATTTTACTTTAAAAATTAAAGTAATATATTAACTAGAAACGACTTTTCGAACACTATTATGTTATTATCATCAGGTCTCAACACATACTGATACCGATTCGAGAGTCGATGGTAACATAGTTCCACACAATTCACAATATTATATTATAAAATATAAATATTTTTAATTTAAAGATTTTAAATAATAAAATTATTTACGAATATGAATGAAAATAATTTCAATACAACTTAATAATATTTAAACATAAACTGAAAATAATATTGTAAGCTTAAAGTAATAGCAGTGGAATCTCAATAAAATATTTGTTTTTTCCTCGTTATTATCATATTATAAACTACTAATTGTAAATGTTTACGCGGAGAAAACAACTTTAGGTTATATCAGTTAATTTAATTTAATTTTTTTTTTTGGTTAAGTTATTTAGAAATAAAATAGAGGAATTCCTATGAAATAATATTTAATGAAAAATAAAACACTAAATGTTTAATTATTATTTATTTAATATTTTTAATCAACTTATGTAAAAAAAAAAGACAGTTAAATTCTTTGCCCTGAAATGACAATCATAATATTCTAGATTATTTATTAAAAAAGACATAGTACGGCATAACTTCATGAAATTATTTTTTATTAGTCTACCACGTTTAGTGTCTACAATAATATTTTCATACTTGAGACTTTCTAAAAAAACGATAGTTTGTTTATTATGTTCTTCTACACGATTTTGATTGCTATAATTATTAATAGTGTTATAACAAGTTAAGTTTATATAACTAATAAGTTGACCGGATATTATGACCGGAGGATGTGGTCAAATGGTAATTGCTAGTTTTTATTTTAATAGTTAATAGTATCGACACTCTGCTAAACTCTACTGAAATAATTGTTATGATCATAATAGTTTTTAACATTTCTGGTTTCTAAATAAGAGGACCTTGTAATTTTCATACATAAAATAATCGCTGTTGTACTTGTTTGTTAATTTTTTTAAATTGAAATCTAGGTTAATTCTTTAGCTGAATCTTGAAGCCGATATTATATGGATTAACTGGTGTTCCTAACATAATTTATACATTGATAACACGAATCATGTTTACTAAACGATTATTTACATTTCATAATTACATTGTCATAAATAAGTTTTATGACGTTTAATAATGTTAATAATGTGCACGTAATATCATGTTTTTTTACAAGTTCTGTAGAATATTTTCGATATTGATGGTCTCCAGTAAAAATGCATGAATATTACTAAGAGTTTATTGAAATGTTCTAGTTCACTTCACTATTGAGTATTGGTACTAATCTTATACTTAATGCTACTCCAGACGCATAGAAAACAAGTTGAGAATTCTCACGAAGAAAATCTTATGAGACGTGAATTTCCCGATATTGAAAACGAGTATTTAAATGCAATTCATTTGTTTAAATAGATAATCTTTCGTGTCTTTAATCCAATTTATTCGTACTTCTAAAAGAGTATATAGAATTAAGTTATGCATGACACATGTCTTACCATGGTCGACGCTGATAGGATCTCCACAAGAGTCACAATATTCGGCAAACAGTCCATCGAAACATTGAAGGCAATACGGACGACCGTCTCTCATGATGTACCTCTGACCTCCCAGTTGCTTGTCACATTCGAGACATGCGAAATGCTTCATGTGCCACGCACGACCTTCAGCTTCCGTACATTCATCAGCCAAGATAATCTATGGGACAAAAAATATTCATGCCTTTAGGGTTAACGTGCTAGTTTTAAAAGAAGATTAATAGATATCACAGTTTGCTGAAATAGTTGTTTAATTGGCCATCAGATTAAACTGACATAAAAATTAATACAAATGTACTACAAAAACATTTGTTAGCTATATAATCGAATAGTTTCATCTAAAACAAGATTATTTATTATTTTATACTAATGCAGTACTAAGAATAATAACCGTTTCATTCAAGTTACCTCATCGCAAGCCGAGCATCTTGGTTTAAGTGTCTCCGCGTGATGCCTACCGCAGTAAATATAATTGTCTTTGCAGAAGTATATTAGATCAACCAAAATTTCTTTGCACACGCGACAGGCAAAACACGCTGGATGCCAAGCAGCTCCGGATCCGATACGACTAGCTGTTACTGCCATATCGCCGGGCTGTAAGGTTTCTTGACACTGCAATAAAAATAAAATAATTAGATGTAACGTATAAAACCAATTTCAAAATAACAAAAAACTAGACAATTTAATAAGATTAAAGCCGAATGAATTCACTTCGATAGATCTATTCGATAAAATTGTATACATTTGAAATGATTATTACCATTTTCGAAGTATGCGAGAAAAGATAAAAATTAAAAATTAATTATATAATAAAAATTGATCACTTGTGGCTAATTAATTAAGTTAGAATAGTTGATATTTAAGTATTAGTTCAAATAAGCATAGTTACTGTAATGCTGCAATTTGTATAACCTTGTTGCAGACAGGTTAATAAAATAATCTCATTGGTTAGCAATGCCGTCTCGATAGGAGGGTGTAGGTGTGTCACACACACATTTGGCAAAATTTAATTGTTTTAGTCGGTAATTTTTTAATATAAGAGTATGCTACTAAAAATAATTATTAAAAAAAATTTATTTGATTAGCAAAAATACATTTTTTATACTCCCATATTTTTGGAAAGGCCCTGTTGGTTGGTGGAACTGACTATAATAATTCTGGGAATCAAATCGGTGAGTGGGTTACTTGCACAAATTAAAATAATCTTTGATCGTTGTTTCACTGCCACTCAGCTCATAATCTATACTGTTGTCACTTTTACTATTTTTTAAATTTGATTTTTGTTTTGGTATTTCATACGACGTTAGTACTAATAGGGTAAAACCATGTTAAGTTACACTAATACACTTTTTAGTTGTATCTAATAGTTACACTTTTGAAAGTAAATAACTAAGAATTCCTTGTCTGGGTCGTTGCTAAAACAGCTGATATGTGTATGTGGTTTTGTTATATGGGTTAGAGTTTTATTATTGGGATTTGTTGATTTAAAGACTTGAGTGACTCGATTTTATGTGATGTAAAATTCAACGAATTGTTGACACTGAATAAACATGAGTTTCGCTTTTATTGAAATATATGTATACGAGTATATTCCACTAAATGTTTACACAATCTAAGAGGACTTTATACGAGCCCGCAAGTTGTGAAATCAGGTGACAATCGATGTCGGTTGTGTACAAATAGATCCAAAGTCGAAAATTATGCAATATTACTATTGTAACCGACAGGTTAAGGGGAACTAACTTCCGAATCCAAAGCACCTCGGGAAAATCGCCGTTTCAAAATGTAGTAAGCAACACACGTGCAACTATTGTTGTCCAAAAGTAGTCATTCTAGTTCGACGGCTTTAATCGTTGAAAATAGCGAAGTTATATATAAATATGTAACGTAAAAATGTTATCTATTTCCACCGATAGATGCGAATATAAAACTGTCATACAAAAAAGCTAAGTTAAGAAAACTCGGAAAATACTGCACAGTATTGAGTTCAGTACACAGGTAGATTGTAGGCGGCGTGGTGAAAAAAATAACTTTAGTAAGTTTAAGCACGCATTTCCAGAAAAACTTTGATAATTTACTTTTACAATAGTTATACAAACTGGTGTATTGGAATTCGCGAGGTCTAAGAAATGAAGTTTAGATACTTCAAAAGAATTGTATATTGACAATGTTTCCAAAAGAATCACAATAATAGAACTGTTTATTTCAAAGAACAACAACTTTGCGAAATTGAGTCACTAGCAAGTTTTGTTTCTTTAACTGTACCGTTAGTGTAATCATATGTATATTTTTCAACTAAGATTAAAAATATTGATTTCAGTTTTATAAGTCAAAATAAGTAACGTTAATTTCCAGTAATGTATTATAAATATTTCATTTATTGTCTACCAATAAATGTATAAAAACTTTCAAGAATAGTCGAGTATTGTAAAATTTTCCCAAATTTATGTAATTCATAAAATAAATTGTAGTACATATATAATTAAAGTGAGAATTATTTAAATTGATTAAAATTTAAATAGTTTGCTTACAAACGAAAGCAGGGAAAATGTTTTGAATATATTAAAATTGTTTGAATGCCGATTTCTCTTAAAATAATTCTGTTTTATATTTATATAAAAATCAAATTTGCATTTAGCTATGATGACAAAATATGAAAATAATGTTTGGTTAAAACAATAAAATCGTTTTTTATGTAAAAACAAACGATAATCCAAAAAAGTATTGCTAACTTTTACGAGTTCGATAGGATTTAAATAATTAAGTAAATGTTTTAAAGTATTTAATAAGAGGAAAATACCTACCGAATTAGATAAAAAATATTTTAATGGTGATTTTATCAATAAAATCAGGTGTATTTTTATGGAATGGAAATTGAAGTTTTATTACTTTAATTTTTTATAAATTTAAAAGGATGATTTTGATAACAAGTATCATAAAAAAATAACGACTATATAAAATTAGCCACTCGTTAACATTTCAACGGGAAGTTATTTTTATGGGCTTTAGTTTTACTTCTAATCGATACGGCATTAGTTCGCATGAATAAATGATTAAAGTTCATTAAATGGAGACAAAATATTGTAACTACATAAAAAAAAATCAAGACTACAAATCTTAATGAAACAATAGCAAAAGTGCTGGTCGTATTTTGTTTCAAATCGGTCTAACTCAAAGGAAACAGTTTACGATAATTGTTCTGTGAATTCTATTCAATTGAAACAACAACTCATTGCATTACATAATAGCCATCAAAAGTTTACCGGAACGTATATATTCACTCAGAGAAACTGTTAAGGTAAAACGTTCAAATAAAATTTAGGAACTCATTTAGTTTAATGGTTTTTGTTTACTTTGGGTGATTATGTTTACTAATTATTTATAATTGTTATAAATTTATCTTTATGAAATTAATTATATAAAACGTTTGAAGTTAAATTTAAATATTTATAATTTTATAATAACTTTTCATTTGTTTGATGTAGATATAATTCATTAACTCTAAAAAAAATTGACAATAATGAAATTTTTAATCACGATCTCATTAAAAAAAGTATTTATCAGGTGTTATTGCAGAAGCTAGTTTTGAAATACATGTTATTAATTGATAATTGATCTCGTAGTCAATAATTAATAGAGTAATGAGTATTCGATCTGGTCATTGGAACAACTTATCTGGATTGCTTTCCATTCCAATTGATTCTATTTCTTACTTTTTCTTGTGAAAATCACAAATTTAAAATAAATGAAATTAATTGACAAGATTATTGTATAATGATTTTTAAAACAGTTTTTTTATTTTTAAATCTAGAAGTATTTTCATATGTGTATTTATTGTTAAGAGAATTTTAAACAAGCTAACTAACTATAACTTATATTATTTAGAAGTTTAATGATAATAAATGCGGCCTTAAAAAAATTGAAGACCAAAATATTTAACTTTTTCATAACAACCAAACTAGCATAAAATTGACATAAAATAGATGTAAAATGATTTACTTTCTTTGTCTAATAATAATAAATTTTAACAAAATAAAATCACATGACATAAATCATTATTTTGTCAATTGCACGTGTTAGCGTTTTATGACTTTTAAAGCAAATTTTATGAGAGCAGTTATCTTTTAGTAAAATAAATCTTATCCGAAATAGCTTTTTTAATAGAACGTTAGAGCTTTAGGTTTCAAGCTATTATTTGATCCATATATAAACTACATAATATGACTACCCATGTATTGCAAGTCCCTTTATGTTATTCAATGAACGTAATTTATCCAATGAATTACATTATAATTTATATTAAAACATTTTTTAGTAACATAAATTTAATGTATGTTACTAGAGAAAAAGAAATGAAGCACATTATTTTGTTTCATTTTGACATTTAAAAAAGTTTTCTTATTTTATCTAGCAATAAGGTGTTTGTTTAGAGGACTTAATCAGATAGGATTATCCTCCTTAATAGCCAATGTACCATAATGCTTTCGGAAATCGACAAGATAAAACTATTGATCGTTGTTTCCCTAAAAGGAAAAAACGTTTTAGGTTTAAGTCGGATTTAACGGTATGCTACAAGAGCTTCCCCTTATCAGAAGATTCGGGAAAGCACAACACGTAGAGCAGCATTAGTCGTCACTATAGTCGCCATCATTATTTCCTATTGTTCGTCGCCAAATAATAACTCAGTCCCACCGCATAGGGAGGCAATGATTTTTCGCTCATATTCCTCTCTTACTTTCAGGTTTACCTTATTTTCCGCTATAAATCACGTTAAAAACACTTTAAACCTGCTGGCGGTCCTTGTTGCTATACAGTAATTGCCATGCAACACCCTCTTAGGCTTAGACGCCTTATTTTAGCCGCACATGTGATTTGCCAAAACGACGTCCTTTTGTAAATGTGCTGGAGAAATGACTTTTAACACAGCGAAAGAACAGTAAAGCGGTTACACTTTTCACTCTAGTTAAACGGGTCCGTTTAAATGCTCGCGGTAATAAATCCTTTGGCACGGCCAAGTAATGTTGAGAGATAACGGTCATTTATCAACTTACACATCTTTTTTGCGCAGATAACCCGTCGAGATTAATGAGCTAGTACAAAAATTACAATCCAGTCGCTGGAAGATGTATTTCTTCTCTTTGTTTTTTTGACGCAAACAAATCATGAACTTGTTGATGATGTTACTAAAACGCTGCATTCGCAATATTTTTCCTTTGAATTTATCTTCTTTTAAGTTTTTTTATTTGAACAGTTCTAGAAAATTGATCGAAATACATTCGTTAACACTTGTTGTATTCTCCCCACCCGCTGACACTGTCAATTATGTTCAAAAATGTCTTATTTTCCAAAGACCGAAAAAAAAATTACAAAAAGCAATTAATTGAAGAACGTCTGACAAGAAACGATGATCCTTTTGATTTTTATTTTAGTTTGAAATACACTGTGGTAAACGATTAGGGCTCCTGGGATAACTGCAACTATGACAGATTGTCTGTTTTAGAATAGACGAAGATTTATGCGTGTGCGTGTATCAGCCTTTTATAGATTTAATGGCAACAAATGAGGCGAGAGACAATGAAGTTTTGGTGATGAGGGATGATGTATTTTTTACCACGTTTATTGTGGATTTTCTAAACTAATGGATTCGATCATTATCGTCTGACACGTTAACGCGTGTGATGGGGAAATACAGATTTCCGTGATTGAAAATTTTGGCGGTTTTTGGACTTTTTATAGGTGATGTATACGTTTACACGAGATTATCTACCCTTATCAAATAGTTATGATCATTATTCAACAAAAAAAATGGTATATTCCGATCGATTTTGACAAAATGAGAGCACTATAATTTAATTTTAAAATCCTTTTTGAAGAAATTAAGGCGATTGAGACAGAGAATTATAGATAGTATAATTTAAAATGACCAGAAGTCTGGTTAGAATTAATTTTAATTTTTGTTTAAAAAGATGGTCAAGTATTTTTTAAAGAAATTGAAATTCAGTTGTTATTCTTGTTGTTGTTTGTACCATGTAAAGAATTAAATCTAGTCATATTGTTATATTTATTTAGAACGTAGATTTAAATAATAATGCAAAAGAAAGTATAGTGGTCAGACACTGGTGTTCCTTAATCTTTGACTACCTTTTATGTATTCTTTTTAGTTTACACCGAATAAGTAGACTATTAATAACATAGAAATCATCATAACCTTAACACAAACATTATAATAATCTATGGCTGTTATCAAATCTACGGTAATGAATAAACGCGTTGTATTCTGTCTCGCACGTAAGAAATGATAGCTTGCACGGTTACCAAAGAAAAATAAGGACGACAGGTAATAAGTTTTTTTCACCCTCATGCAAATGCCAAACCATTATGACAAATTTTCCCAGACGTTATTATTCGTCGCACCTGTAATATATTTCAGTTTTCATATTGAATTTACCGGCAGCGTTGTTGCATCACACTAATATTATACAACACTCTCTTTGTACACATATGGTAGCCGTTAGGTTATAACGTGAATACATTTTACACGGCATATAATCAATTTTATCCGTAGAAAAGGTAGAGAAAGATGAGCTTTAATTAGAAATAAGAGATTTATTATATAGATTAGTCCACCTGGACTGAGTTCATTTCATTATATATCAAAAATTGTAAACTTTGTGCACGTGTCGAGTAATTCCAACGTTTGATTGAAATTACTCAATCAAAAAGCTTACGTTTTGACATGGAACCGATGCGACCAGCTGCTTGGCAGTTCCTCGACCCAGAGCGTCTCGTTTCCTCTGCGCACTGAATAACTTAAGTTCCTTTCGCTCTTCATCCGACAAACCTCGACAATACCGTACTTCGTTGTCATGTGGCGGTAACTGTTGCAGAAGTTGCCTCACCCGATACCGCTCACCCGCAGAGTTCAGGTATGGTACCTTGTCTTCTGGCACGCCCGCAAAATAGAGGTGTACCTGAAAAAATAAAGTAAAAAATATATTACATGTGTGGAAAGCATAAAACTATACACTTGAATCAATGTACATGAAAACGAACGTAGGTGCTATTGAACATAACGTTAAAAAACAATATTTAGAGCTATGTAAGCGTAATGGACTTATAGTTTATCATGCTAGTTTTCCGAATGGATTGTACAGACTTGATAAAAGACAAGAGTTTTTATAGAGTAGAAATATTGTTATAATAACACAAAATGAATAGTATTGATTTAGAGCTAAATTTATTTTGATATGTTAGAGGAAAATTTTAAATGGAGTAAATTACGGTAGTTTCATTTTGGAGCTTTTATTTGTTATTTAATAGTACATTACGTTTGATCTTTTGTCATATCAGATTCTATTAAAAAAGTCACCAACTCGTCGAATCTTCTAAATATTGCTCGTTACGTTTTTATTCATATGATACAATATATTAAGTCGAGTATGTTTACTTAGTATTATGTTACGGTTTGGATAACGTGAGAACGTTCATGAACTGAATGAATCCGTACTATGTAAACCTGTCGTATTGATTATTGTATTATTAATATTAGTGAGAGACTATGATATGTTTACTTATTTGATATCTAAGGGTAATGACACTGAACTGGTATGTACGTTTTTTAACTTTAGTAAAGTTTAGATCGGGAGAAAATGAAAAAAAACTGCTCAATATTGACAAGATAAGTATTTAAATTATTTACTTGCTTTCTGTTTTTAATTAGTAATGTATTTGTAAAATAATATCGATAAGAGTATAAAATGTAAAAATGATTCATTAAATATGTAATATTGCTATAAATAATCTATATGCGATTAATGAATGTAAATTTACCTAATTTAAGAAAAGTAAAAAATAGCTCGCTTTAGGAACAACTAGGAGAGCTGCAATTAGTCAATAAATACACTGTTTAAGTGACTAACCGAGGTATCAGTAGATTAAATATCCAATTAGTGGTTTTATGAAAATTAATGGCAATTATTTCGTAAGAAAACGCTGTACGAAGTATCACATAATCAGTTCTCATTAATTTATTGACTGCGGTCATCGGTATTTCATTTTTTTAGCCGCGGGAGCTTTAGTATCGTCTGGAGTTGCATGCAATCACAGTAAACACATAATATTTGTGCGAAGTGTAATTCTTCGACACCAAGCGACGATAAACGGCACGCAAACTAACCGGTAAATACAAAAGTTAATATATTATGTCACGGTTTCTCGAGGTATCTACAATGATTGTGGTAATTAACTTGAAGTATGGCTTAACGCATGATGGATTACGTTTCAGGATGCCTGAAATTGAAACGGTCAGTAAAGAAGAAGTTTTTATTCGCTGACCGAAGTGTGTTAGTTATTTAAAAATGTGTTTGGTTGATATTGTTCAATACATTTTTACACCGACAATTAAAAACATCGAAGCTAAAAGTCAACTATTATGTTGAAATTGTGTAATAAAAAAAAAAAATCCTTATTTGAATGTTTAACCTTATTAGTTAACGATTGGATTTTGGGGTATCAGACGTATTGAGACTAATAGTGGTAATAAATAATGAACATTTCGATTAATTATGTTATAGCCACTTAAAGGTCTACAGCTGAGAAATAAATCTTTTAATTTGGAAAGTAAATCCACTAATTATTTGATATTGATACAAATTATTGTGTGTTAACAATGGGCAAAACTGATGTGATGAATCGTTGGACTGTAATTTATGGACATACCGGCCAAGTGCATACAATGTCGGCGTGTGAACGTGTTATTAATACTGTTCTGCCAATCCATAGCGGTAGGAAACAATTGGATAGAGGTACGCTGGACGACAAGTCTTACTTGTCTTGCGAATGACTGTTGTGTGCTATGTGCTTTATCAGTACCCACAACAGTATCTTGATTAAAAATAATGGTTTCCAGAAATATAATGACTTAAAAAAATAGTAAATAAGAACTCGATACGGCCGAAAAATTAGATGGCGAGAGATTTCCTCAGAGAAACACACACGCTGTGCGGGCCACGGCAAAGACTCAATTTATAAAACTAACAAAACAATGATTAGGTAAAATGTTATTAAAAATGTGTGAGACGTCGAGTTGGTACGAGTATAGGAGACTTCTTGAACATACTGCGGTTAATATCGACGACATAAATTATGCATTGTGGTTTGTGGTGTACATATACATAAGTGTAATTTTTGATTAAAAAAAATAATTGTACAAAATGGCCAACGTGTATTTGATATCTCCTGATATAGTAGTTTTTTACTAGTGAATTATTTATTTAAAAAAAATTAGAGCGATGAGCATTCAATAGGTACCCGAGTAAATAGACCGTACAGCGCCTAATTACATTAATAAGTATTTATAATATTTTCAAAAGCCAACCTGAAGTTTAAAATAAAAACCACCTGAAGACACCACGACATGTGTATGGTGTGCCCGTACTAAGAATACTTACTCGTAGTGTACGAGTAAAAATAATAATATAACATGTGTTGGTGTAATAATATAGTTAAGTGTATACAAAAAGCATAATTTGCCCTAGGGCTGGTCTGTGTGGCTGCATATATTCCAATACATATACATATGGGCGTACACGTTGACTAAGAGGCATTTTTTTATTTTGTTTTTCTTCGGAGCAATTACAGACATGATTAATGTTAATAGAGCGGTTCTTGGGGTTCGCCCGCTGGGTAGCGTGAGCCTGTTCGTCTCTGTTTGGGTCTTTACCTTCGTATAAAACTAAAAAATGTTAGAATATTTCTAAGTAAAACGAAATAAATACCGGAGACTGATCGCATTATAGGTCGGAAAATACAGTATATTATGCCGATGTGGCGTGTGTATGAATGCAATCTGTATTAATACAAAAACATAATATATTATTTAATATGTACAATAGTTATAGGAGAAACGATGTCAGTGCTGAATGACGTGGAACGTAACAACACCTGTGGTACGGCTTATTATAACTATATAGGCACGGATGTTGTTGGAATGGAAAGATGGTACGGAAAAAAGAGTCACGCGATACTCAAGCTCATGGAAGGAGCAAACTCAGGAAGGATGAAGAAAGCAATTGTGCAACTCGTATTTTAATGTACGGTGGGTTCAATTTGTACAAGACTTATTCTAAAAAAAAACCAATTGAAAAAGTCTGAAATTCAACCGAGGAAAATTGATTGCATGTTCAAATATGAATTCAATTCATACTCGAGAGGAAAGTTTGTCAGACAATCTCATCATCAGCAATAAATCCAATCAGTAATTCATAATACTATTTGAATCTATCTCCAATTCATTACGAATAAACAATGCAGATGACCACAATATGAAAAACCAAAGGATGTTAACCCGTTCATTGTTGACTGTTGGTCAGAACAAACTGGTCACATCGTACGCGATGGTCAATTAAAGTACGTCATTTTTGACACTATGATGCTGTAACATGGAAATGTGATATATAATTAAAGATCGTAATAACAATAGTTATGTCCATAATAGGTTTGGCATTCAATACAATCCCAAGCGATGAATAGTATAACATCGCATAAGAAATGATCAATGTGTATGTATACCCAAATTATTAGCATCCTAAAGCGTTTTCGAGTCATTAATATCGTTACGAGAATAGTATTCGAATATTTTAACACAAAGAAAACGGACTGAGGTCAATGAAAAGCGTACGGGGAACGGCTGTCGATTTCACTGAGATCGAACAGCTGCGGGTTGACCTTATGATTTATTTCTCCAAGTCCACCGAACTAAATTGTCATTAATCGTAATGGGTCTGAATTGGTCTGCAAATTATTCTACGCTTATATCGAATGGCGCTGCTCAAGAAAGTATTTTTCAGTTATTAGCTGTTATCGCGGTCAATAGTTTTTACCATGTAGCACTCGTTTAGTACAAGTACAATAGTCCATATAAGAAGAGTATTGCTTGTTGAACTTAACGGCGTCCTACGTTGCTACGGAAATGATTATTATTGAACGGATACATCGATAAAGTATACACTCGTTGTAATAATTTTACCAACGCTATTATCGTGTTCTTGTCTTGTACTTATTACGCCTTTATACTAACACAAATGAGATTAAGTGAAACTTCATTAAGACTTTTGTGTAACATGGAACGCGTTTTTCTATTTGCCCTATTAAAATACAATGTATACCATTACATCTCGTTATTTACACGACTTCCGGAGACAGTCGCATTCCATCTTGTATCTAAACTAATTAATATTCATTGCTCGAGCACATTTTACCATCCGATACTGCAATGTTTTAACTTTATCACTGTGCGAGATAAATATAAAAAAAATTCAACACAACTTTTACTTATAAGAATCTACTACTAGCTTGAACTTTTTAAACATATTCGATCGATAATTAGGTTAGTTGAAGTCGGCGTATAGAAACTACAAGCATTCTTTCTGTAACGTTTCTATTACTTCTCTAGGGACGATACATTAAACAAAAATATACTACCGAAGACTTCTCATGCGGCCATGCTTTAGTAGTCAGACATCATATAATTGTATATTTCATTCAACTTCAAAGCAATAAGTGTTGTACGAAACCAGAGGTACTTGCAAGAGTTGGGAATAAAAATTATTTACATAGGATGACAGTGACCATTTACAAGATTGAAAAGAGAGAATTATTTTAAGGGCTCACAGTAAAAACAAGTTGGCTATTGTGGTGGTACGTCGGATGCTATTCAGTAACTCTATATAATAAACATACCACAGTGAATGAATTATTATGCTTTTAGACGGAAAAAATGTTTTATTATAATATTTTCCCTTTTACGCACGTCATACGTTAATGAATACCTACCGTTCGTATTTACATAAATATATTTGTTTATAAATTTGTATAATTTTAAATACACTCTTTGGCGCAATTTTGTATAACAAATGATTATAATCCAAATTAAATGTTGTAGTACTATCACAAAACGGATAAAATAAGTTTAGTAATTATCATAAAAATTAGACGAGTTGTTAAAATGTGTACTCTTTTATATTGAAGCTACAAACTTTTATTCAAAAAATAATTGTTTTATATACTACATTTGTGTAATCTATTGAATATTCAAATGCATAATGTAATTCTCTAAAAAATAAAATTATGTTAATTTAGACTTAAATTTAATTTCACTTAAATTAGGCCTATTAGTAAACAAGTTAAGTTGAAAGAATCTAAAATTATTAGGTATATAAACTAGTTTCAATAATAGTTGATAAAAAATATCGGGTACAAATCGAATTATAAACATATGATTTAGCCAGAATGTTTTAATTCTAGTTTGCCGTTGATTTAAATCGCCTCAAATAGTTTAGAGCAAACAAACGTGATTTTAATTTTTAAATTCAATCCCTCAAGTCATTTCTCTAATAGAACCAATAATCATACCGGGTGGTCGTATCGCTAACGTCGGAATTCAATACAGTTTTAAATAATTATAATGTCCATTTATTGATACTTATATTTCCAATGGATACTCAGTATTTCAGTTTCGATAGATATTATTAAATCGTCTTTGAAGATAAATTGAAATAGTTTATTGTAAAAGTAACGGGTATGTATCTGTCATTAGATGAATTGTCTTTTTTTTTAATATAAGTAAGTATTAAATTTATTTTTGCGTTCTTTGGGAATTGGAATATAATAAAACTAAGGTTCATGAAGATTTTGCAAAATTATCTGATTTCATTTTCGAAATAACTTGGCGGTACTTCTTTGTTATAATAATAATAATAATGAATCCGAGGAAACATTTAGAGAAACTAACGAAGCAAAAATAGGTAATCGTGCTTGTTTTGTTAAAATTTCTATCTAGAAGAATTAAACGAATTTACTGGTAAGCAAAATGGTATAATGTCACGGTTGTACAGAACGACCGATCCTATCCGGGCACTCCAATGTATAAAGGAAGTACATGAAAATGCGTTTACGGGTATCATTAACGGGAATGAACCATTGATAATGACCAAAACAAAGAAAATTTGAAACCTTTACACCTTAGGGTTTTTGATACATCACAAAATATATTACTGAAATTAGTCACAAATCGATTTAAGAAAACTCGGTATTTGAGAAATAAAAATACCAGCGGCGTAAATGAAAATTATTTGATTTAACATAACAGCGTAGATTTATTTTAAAATTTAAATCGTTAATTTATAATTTTATAACACAAGTAAATTATTACTACAATAAAAAATAATAAAAAATGTCTTTATCGAATTAAGTTGGTTCAACGAAAAATTATGGACAAACAAATAACCAGCACTGGGAATTCAGCAAATCAAATTATAGTATTATTTTTTTAAAATAAAAACTGATTAAATTAGCTCGTGCCGTTTCCATGATTCATCAAAATTGTTTACTTCCGGATGAAAATTATTGACCAATCGTTGACAATATTATTAAGCGTAATTTGTATTCGAAAGGAGCTTAAAGGAAGAGTCGGGTGCCTTAAAATACATTTATTATGAACATGGTATGCTATTTCTGCGTTGCTCAAATAATCAACAGGCAACCGGTCGAATACCAAAGCTTATATAATTGTTATTACTGTTGTTTCAGTAGTTATAGTTTTCACAAAACACCAAGTAAACACAATTATAAAGTTAACAATTCCCAATATTTCCATTATATATTCTCGGCTAATATCCACCCGAGTAGGTTAGACTAGCGAGAATTCAAAATAACTTAAAAATGTTTATAATACAAAATTGGAGTTTTGTGAATTTTATGTAATGACCTACCTTTATTTGTGTAATAACAATAAACAAAACAATTTTACTAACCTGTTCGGGTCTAAGACCAGCTGGCACCCAAGTATACTCTTCTAATGCACATCCGGAATCGTCATCGGAATGCGAGTGTCTTTGTTGGGGATCACCGTTGGCCGTTCCTATTCCATGGTGATGGTGGCCGTGGTCTTTGCGACCAACAAGGGTACTACTGGAGCTACTTCCTCCTCCACTCCCTCCCCCCAAGAGCTTGTCGTATCCTCCGAGTGCCTGTTCGTAACCTGGTGGACCTGTTGGTAACGGTGGCGGTGGAGTACCCTTCTTTAAGCCGGGTGATGCCGACATTATTGTGGTCGCCTCAATCTGCGGTAGTTGTGGTTGAGTACGTTGCTGGAAAGACGGTGTCGGTCTGTCGTGGTCGTCTCGAGGACAACTGCAATTGCGACACACTTGTCTAAAAAATAAGAAAAAACAATTCAATTATAAAATTGTCGTATTATTTTAATAAGTTTTGTAAGATCTACGTCTGCATTTTGTACAATAGCACTGGAAATTCAATTTCAATTTCTATTATTTTTTTTCAATTATTCTAGTAAAAAGGATTTAAACTTAAATTTTGAACGCAACTAACAGGGTTTTCAGGTAAATATGACGTGTACCTATCAATTAAAGTGTACCATCTGAGATCATGACTAATTTATATTTGATTAAAAATAAAATTATAATAAACATACAGTCGATCTGTTCACGTGTAACTAATAGAAAACAGTACGATCATAGATGTGTAATTATACGATGTATCAGTTATTACCAAAAAACTTTGAACGCGTTTGTTGTAAACAGTAAATAATTATATTTGTGGTATGTTTATAATAAAATTACGTGGTCGAAACTTGTTTTGGTAGAAATGTAAAAAATATATAAGATTTACTAAAAAATAGTGTTATTAAAAAGCGGTTCGTAAAGGAAGTTCACGATAAGTTTTTAACAAGCTCTACACATTTACTGAAATGTTAAAATCAGTTTATTCTGAATTTTTTGTCGAAATAATAATTTAACAACTCATAGAAACAAATTAAACATAATTGATATCTCCTTTAAAATATCTTCATGTTTCATGATTCATTACAAATATTTTCTTCGGAACTATTTTCCAAAACAGTAATTTATTGTTACAACTTGCGGTGTTTAATTTACTATTAGACGACTAGATTATTATTTTACACAAGTATAATTATTAAATTCGAGATAATCGATTTGTTTTCACGTGGGTCGGTTATCTGTGCGTACGATCTCCACCCAACCTGCAAATACAGTGTTGTTTTTTAAAAAAGTCACGATGAGGACTCGCGCGGAGGAGGTCTAAAACACAAATTACAACATCGGGCCAACGGGATAATGGTAGCTGTGACGATGATAATATTATTTTCATAATAAAAAATAAAACCGGATAAAAGTAGCCGCACACTGGTCTTATAAGCATGTTATAATTATTTATGCTAATTGTCTAGTAGTTCATTGTATTTAAAGGTTTGTACGGTGAATAAATCACGAGAGAAGCCTCCCGGACATACGATATGATATACATATCACATAAAACGTTATTATTCACGTGGTCCAAAGAAGATTTCTATCGTACCAACCAAACCAATCGTAGCACAGGCATTACAGTACACCAAGTCTTTCAGTTAATTTGACATTTCAATTGCCACGTTTATCGTTATCATTCTATACACACCACAAAAAACACTAAGGCGTTATAAGACATTTAAATTCGTCGATACTTCACTGGAAGGTATCAATTAAACTTAACCGTATCTACAGATCGGACTTTTCTTGTGGTCAATAATTAGTCGTGTAACAGCAGTACAACTAACATGAATTAATATAACACTATTAGATAGTTAATAAGACCTTACTGCGCGAGAAGGGTGATGGATTTCTAAGTATTAATCAATAAGTAGTACTATACTATTTCGAATGACGTAAAAAACATGCGTCGCCGATACATTAGCTGATCGTTCATTAAGAAATAATCTTTACATGCATGTAGACTTCAAAAATGTGTGGTTATAGGCGTGTTCAAAATACTTTATGTTATGTTACGGACACTAATAAATATATTTAAATAAAACTTTATTTTTTAGACATAATTGCAGAGTTAAATATTCGATCTTAAAATGTTTCTCGGAATTAAAGAACCTAAATTAACGTTCGTGTAACTGTACCAAAAAAAATGTTTTTATTAATTTACAATAAGTAAAGTATATTATATTTGTTCGAAAATTACAGTGTATAATAATTTCAACTCGAAGAAAATTATCCATCCAAATAAGTATGCTTAATTACAAATACGACTAATAAAATTCACGTATATTAGTTATTTTGTATCGGATTAAATAAAAAAGCAGTTAACGCATAAAAATAAAATATATTGCCATGTAAACTAATTTTCAAATAGTCAAACGAGTTTTATTTTTTGAGGATCGCATTTGAACTTTGTTTAAAAACTAATTACCAAGTACCACTCCGTATGGTGAAACATTACATAAAATGACTAGACAAAAAGAAAAATAAACAGACAGTCACAATGGTTGTCTACTCTCTTCTTCGTATAATTTATTCTTGACTACTTATTGTGGTCTGGTTTTCTCACTATTGTTCAATGAGTAATAATTTTTTATTCTAGGCGCTATACAAACTCTGTTAATATTTTTATACTAATTATAATTAATCGTCCATGCATATAATAATAAAAAACAGAATTTTATCATGAAGTGCATATAAAATACATTTTTTATCAGATTAAAAATATTAACAGGTTCGTTACACTATTGAACAGTAATGTATTAAATTGTATGAATATTTAAATGTCACTTGTATAATTATCATTAAAAATGTTTTACATTAAAGCGTGCACTATACGGTTTATGAAAAGTAGTATCTTCAAGTTTGTTTTAAGTAAGCGTGGTGCTGATGAGTTAACTGATAAATAAAACTTCTATAATGATCAAATAACAGTTTAATTTTGATTGTCAATAAAAATCGTTAACATATGTCATCTGTAAGTAAAATTAGTGAAATTCCATTGTGTTTTAGGTTATAATAAATAAAATATTACAGGTTATATCAGATAATTATATTTTTTAGAGTGTACTTAGACTATTATGGGTTTTAATCAGCGGTTCGTTTCCAAAGAGCACCTTTATCAATGTAGATACAGACTTTTTACTAGGTTATGTAAGGAACTCTTAGTTGACTTTGCTAAGGGATGGTAGACATTAATTTTACCTTTATAGTGTTTTCGCTGCGACTATACACAACAGTAACGTTTTTAATTGCCGTTCTCTTTGATAACTTAAGTGAACTGTGATAGGTTGAAGGGAACAAATGGTAATTGCTTTAATATGGTCGATGGAGTCCGATGACGAACAACAATTTTACCTGTTGCTTTGAGTTTCGAATTCGTCCAGAACCCGATAACCTCGAATCGTCAATTACCGAATTTTATAATTTATTGTCTGTATATATAATAGTTAATATAATAAATACATTTTTACGAAGATTATAAATATATGTTCGATATTATTAGCTTTGATGTGAAGTTGAACAAATATTGATTTTGTAATTTTTTTTTGTCTGTCCATGTAAATTCTCAGCTCTCACTGATCCAATTTTGATCATCTATACGCTAAAAGAACCCGAATTTAATCTAGTTAAAATATAAAAGCCTTTAAAAATTGAAAAAAAAATTCTCAAAATTTGAAATTTAAAACTACGATACTGTAAAAATATAGGCATTTAAAAAAAAATGCTCTGTATCCTAAATTACTATCACTTTATATTATATTGTAATTAATTTTTATAAGAGTATAATAGAGTATAACTAGCTACCTTTTGGTATAATTTTTTTAAGAATTTTATAATAAAGGTAAGTAAATAAAATATTTCAAAAAGACCATCCACGGATGTAAATGTTTTTTTTATTTCATTTTTGAAAACTGTTTTAGAACGTCTGTATACTTTAGACCTATGTCAAAATAAAGCTCTTAAAGCTTTAAGAATTAAGCTCTGAAACGTACTTAATGATCAAAAAAAATGTTTAATACAATTTGACCGTCAAAGCAAAGAAAATCGCAACTTTTTCGAAAAAATTCTGTTTTCAACTTTTGAAAATGCACCAGGACGTCAATATTATTTATATTATACAAAAATATAAATATTAAAAAAATATATATAATAATAATTATACATAAAAATAAATAAATAAATATTTAACAGATTCGCATCGAAGCGTTTTATTATGTTAATGTTAATCACTGTCAGAAATTTGTCTCGAGTCCACAGTTCCCCGCGACCCCACTGTACTAGATTGTTTTTTATGTTTATTTTAAATTAGTTGATACCTGACATGCTAGTTTTTTGAGATTTCAGATGTATTTATTGTAAATGAATAATAAAAATAATCAACACAATAGAAGTCTGGTAGTTTTATAGAAGTTATTGTGTGATAAATATATAAACGAACCACTACATGCGCTAGTCAACGTGCGTTTTAGTTTACATACAAAAAAATCTTTACTCGTTAAATGTTAGCTGTCGTGTTCATGAGAAAATAGAAGAGAAAAATAATGTTTCGTTATCTCCCAACTTTCGGAGGGTTCTGATGGAACATAAATTAAAACAAACTGCGAAGAAATGAACTAAGAGCTCGTGTTCCCACGGTAATGGTTGACCTTCGATGGACGTCAGACAATAGACTTTAAAGGGTGTAATATAAAGTTAATTTAACGGCGGAATTACGCAAAAGGAATCAAGTGTGATTATCATAATGGTTACCTATTGCAATAGGCATAGTACAAGACGATTGTGGTTTACACGGAATGTGCAGCAAGAAAACGGTAATATAATACGTGTAAATTTTATTTTAAGACATCGTGCATAGCGATCGACCGATGAGCTTTCTTCGATGGCGTAAAGGCTAAGTAGAGGAATAGGTTTTCGGCGTTGTACGGTGTCTAATGGGGGCGCCGAGGTTAAGGATCATGACTAATGATCGATCCGATCCAAGAGGCAGCGGGAGGTTACTCGGTCGGTTCCCGAGCAGCCATTATGCGATTTGAACCCGGATAATCTCGGTAGCTGTCTGACAAGTCTTGGAAATAAAAGTGTGCACGATAAAGAAGTAATGGCCGTTGGGGGAAAATGAAGGTTGATTGATTATATTTCCTCCGGGTCTCCCCGTCAATATAGATGGACAGCCCGTGACACGCACACGAATTGTCTCAGATCTCGATTTGTGGGCAACAGAGGTAAAAGAAAAAACTTAGGTAGGACTTCAATGAAACTTCATTTTTAATGAATTCGTTTAACACATTAAAATAATCGAATTGTACTCCGTGCGAGAATGTGTCATAGGAAGAAGACTTAACCGCAAAAGGTATAATACTCGAT